TCATATCACCAGGGTTGTGAGGTTAATAATGTTGGATAATATTAGCATTGGGCTTAATTGTTTCTTGTAAGAGGCAAACAAAGAGAAAAGGGAACATAGACGCTGTTAATTCATTTTCAAAGGGATTTGATGTCTCCCTCTTCTGGCGAAATTAGTTTTCTCTGACAGCCAGTTAACAGTGATTTAAAGAGCTGCCATTCAGTTTGTTAGAAAATATCTGGCCGTGTATGAATCCATTACCATCCGGGGATAATCATGTATCTGATCAGTTCTTCCACTGTGATTATTTGTTACTCATGGGTTCTTGTTTTGTGGCCTAATACAAAGTAAGGAATATAAAAAATTGCCTCAGCCAAATACTTTTAATAATAGCAATTTGGATTCTCTTTAAATGGTATGAATATTGCGTGTTCCTTCTTTTTTGTGCTTCTTGATCCTATTTGCTGGTGAATAGTACTCGAAGGGTTCAAACATACTTCACTTCACAACAATTTAGGCCCTTTTCTTCATTATCTTAATGATGTAATTGACTGGAGAAGTAACTAGACACTGACACAAAATATATACCATATGCCATTATTTGACGTTAACCAACTGATTGCAACACACTTTTCAATAACAGCAACAGTATACCAGCACGGTGTGCCAGAGTGGCAGAGGCCCAGTGTGGACGTCACGTATTCGTGTAACACAGCCCCCCGTGGAGAGGCTGGCTGCAGCCCAGGTTGGATTTGGATTTCTCTCTGCTCAGAGGGTGAATCACTCTCCCTCTTACGTGCAGTAGGATTATATCAGCTTCGCTCTTATCTCAGCCAGTCGTGTATTTGCCTCTAAGTGTCCGAACCTTCAAAATCAGATCAGCGAACTTGATTGGATATCCCGCATTCAGCTTTAAGCGAGCTGAAAAGAGGGACGTGCTTAATGCCAAAGTCCCGCCCACTAAAGGATTCACGACTGACTCGTTGATGTCTGAGCTATCAGGAAAGTTGGGCTTTTGATGCTGTTGGCCATGAACTCTCAGCAGAGGCTGCCATTAAGGGTTGGAATACCCTCTGTTAATAACGTTAACATCGAAGTTGAAAGAAAATGCTGAAATGTATCATTGTATGATTGCTTGACAGGTCTTTTTTGTTACACAGGCCCATAGAGAACGTGCAGTGTAGCATTTCCTTTAAACCTGCCTTCCTTTTCCTGCGTTCCAGCCCTTAGTCCGGTCTCCTCAGACTCTACAATCAGATTAAAAAGGGATCCAGCTGGATTCAGATACTAGTGCATTTTAAAACCTTTTTGGACCCAATGATTCAAATAACATGTGTTTATTCCAGGAAGTTATTTCCACTTAAAAGAAGTTGGTCCATGAGTTACACACATGTCTTTCCCAAAGTCAGTCTATGGGGGAGAAAAAGTATTTTTGGTCCCTCTGATGCGTGAATGACACAGAAATCTTAATTCCACCATTTGGCCACCATGTAAAATCAGCTTTAACGCTCGGCGCTTCGTCCTGGGGGCTTGAGTCAGATTTAATCCTCCATCCTTGGACATATCCAAACCAAAGCAGAGGGGACGATTATTTACAACTATTATTTGGAGCTTTTCGTATTATATGAATATCTTTTTCAAAGATTACACAACAGACATTTGAATGTGCCGAAGCATGGCTGAGGTTGTTGGCTGTGCATGTGTGCAGTGTCATGACACAAGTCAACTGTAAACCTCACACACACACACACACACACACACACACACACACACACACACACACACACACACACACACACACACATTGCCAGACTCCCTCCTCCACGCTTCAGTAATGCTCTGATTGGTTGGTCCTTGCTGGATGTTATCTTTGGTAGCATACTGCACTCTTGTGGCAGATGAAGGACTTTTATGATGCGGTGAAAGCAAACATGATGAAGAGACATTTAAAAAAATTGTAGCTCCATGTATTATTTCAGCAAATCCATGATCATGGCTACAAAATGGATAAATAATATCCATTCTGTAATATGTTGAGGGTCACAAATAATAAATAATGAAAAGAACATTTTTCTTTTTAGTTTTGGGAAATTATATGGAGCAGTATTTTGTAAATAGACAAAAATACATCGGCAACCAGTCTGAAGATGCCATTGTGCTGCTTCATCATAGTGGCTAACTGGTGTGCAGTTGTGTCCATATCGATCGTGGCAGGATGAATGAATAGCTGTCATGTATGTGTTTGTGTCTTGTCTCGTAGAGCCTAATGAGAGTGAGGGTGGGTTTATGAGCACAGCGGCTCCTGACCAGATGGTGGGTAATGTGGTTTGGTTTAGCTGCCCACCATGCTCACTCTAATTAAACAGAGGAGATAACATTAGGCGTGGCTCCCACTCAATCTGCTCCACCGCCGAGTGTCGCCTTGCGCTGAAGGCGGGGTGGAGATTGAAGGTGGAGGGGTTACAGAGTTAAAACGACACATGTACTGTCATGCTAAAGTCCTTTTCTTTGAAAGGAAATGAACTCTTTTGGAAGGTCGAAAGGATGCTCCCGTCTAGACGGTTGAACTATCCAAACACTTTTTCCAACTGCTTTTAAGTCTGTAAATCGAGGCAAATAACCCCACTCACAGACACTGTGCCTACTACTCACTCACAAGTACCTACTTAATAACCAAATATTGAAATGACGTCCATAAAAGAATCTGTGGCGGCGTGGTTTGGCTCACCTGCAGAGGGGGCAGGGTGGAGGGGTTGCTCAGGGAACTGCGCCAGGTGGAGGCGTAATTGGCCTCAGCTGCATCAGGTTATCAGGTCAATTCTGTCTCTCCCCTGTAAAAAACAGCAGCGGCGATCCGGCGGGGGAAGAAGGTGGACGGAGAAATACTCACATTAGTTGCGACGGTATTGTGATATTAACAATGAAGTGTGTGTGTGTGTGTGTGAGTGTGTGTCCGCCTCTTCAACCCCCACAAGACCTGAATAGACAATCGATGGGGAAAATGAATTTGGTTTTTACTACAAAAAACTGTTTTTATTAAAGGAAACAAACATTGAGCCTTTTCTGAAATTTCTGTTTGAATGAATGAAGTAGGTCGATACTGTGCTTTACATCAATGCAGCACTTTCTGAGTCATTGTTTTGCCAAAACTTGCTGACATTCTGTCGAGTCTTAAGAAGCTCTTCTTCTTGAGCTGCATTTGCTGACGCATGCAGCTGAAGACGGTTCAAGTGAAAAGGCTTCTGACCTTTAAAAAAGAAAGAATCTCCTCGCAACAATAACACTTAGCGCCGTATCTTGTCAAATCTGAGAGTAACATTAATAGTAAAATATACATGGCAAACATCATTTTATGTAGCAGAAGTCAGATACATATCTGCAAAATTAAGTTAGCTGAAAAAATTCACACATTTTTGTAAAGAGAAAACACTGCAGCCCGGAATGTGGCCGTAAATGCTGGTAGTACTTATAAACAATAAGAGGTTTTGCCTGCGCAGTGTCGTGCAGGACGCAGTGGCAGACCTATTGGACTGATTATTAGCACCTTTCACATCTGGGATAAAGCACAGGCCAGCTGTGGTTGTGGCAGAGTGCCATCAGAGGTCACCACAGAGCCAGGAGTGACTCCGGCTGTTTGCCAGTTGCCCAGCTGACACATTAACACCATAAACAGCTTGAGACTGTGAAGGTTTATGTCAGAAGCAAATACACCGTCAAGAGGGATCAGCAGCATTGCCTTTAATTCCAATGATAATTGACAAGGCCAAAGCTGTAATGGTGAAATATTCAGTTAGGACCACAGAGACTGTGGAGAGTCAGATCAGTGATTACTGGCTAATGGCAAAACCAGAATGTCTAATGGGTCTTAAGAAGTACGATCAATGATTTAAAAATATCCACTTGAGGCTTTTTCCGAAAGACTCATTCTCCACAGAAAGGGCGGGGGGAGGGTTTTGAGTCATAAAAAACAACGTTTTTTTTTTTTCAAATACTCATAATACTGTGCCATTTAATTGCTTTTTTACATACTTTAGTATGACTTTTCCTTAAAAAATGTATGTATAATAAATGGAAAAAAACCCTAAAACCCCCTAAAAAATACTTCTTTCTGCCAAGTACAACATGTTTTGGTTTGACAAAAATATGTAATACACATCGTTGAGCCATCAGTGTCTGATTTGCTAAACTGTTAACACTGAAGCAACTCTTTGGGTGGCTTCACACCGTGTTGACGTGTTTCCAGCAGCTTGGCTGCAACGCTTCAACCACGACTCAGCTGTGATTGGCAGGTGATGACAGGGGGCGTGTGCCACAGGGTTCTAGATTGGGTCAATGCATTCCTGGTATGGAGGAATGAAAAATTGAATACCGTACTAAATGAAAAAATCAGTTCATAAACTTACTTATTAAGTATTTATTAAATTACTATTTTTGGATGTTAATTTTAAATGCATTTGTAATTATGTACATTCATTTGAGAACGTATGTATTTAAAATGTGGTTTTCATGGGAAATGTAATACGTCAAAAAATTGTTATAATAGTTAGTAATAATCCCATTCAATAGCATTCCAGTAAATGTAGTAAAAATAATGACAAACTACTAAATTATATTATAGGTTAGGTTATAGATAAATCCCTGTTATAGTACTTAATGCCATAAAAAGACATAATGTAATCCATAATGAAAAATGGCATTTAAAAGGACATGGCTGATGTAACCTGTCTTAATGAGGTATTAAACTGCATGGAATCTTAAAACAGGTCTTAAAAGGAAATAGATTTTGTTAAAACTATGACTAATTGATGAAAATGTTCATTGCTAAAAGTAATAGATACAAACTATTTCCAAACAAATCGTTTACAGTAGAATGTATGACAGAATTGGTATAACGTGATCTGCTTTTTATAAATAACATCCAGATTAAGAATAATTGATTGAGGACCTTTGGCACGTGACAGGTTGTGTTGACGAAGGTTTCTGGAACCATGACGACAGCAAAAAAAAGTGGGCAAATTAGACAAGGTGCACAAAATAGTAAATAGTTTTATTCTTTTTTTTTTTTTAAACCATGCCACCGAACACTGACGCATACAGAGTTGTGCCTGAATCCACACTGAGAAAAACACTTTCACACACTGTGTTACAAAGCTGTAATGAAGAGGGACTTTACTGCACACATGGCAAGAGGAACAACCCTGATTGGATACCAGGTCGAGCTTTGATCTGGCCCTGAGGTAGACAGACATCGACATAATCTAAACAATGCTAATTACATCCTTCTAGGACACATCAAATCAAAGGACATTTTGCATTATCACAACATAGAAAGATCAAAGAATAAACCCTTTTTCAAAACAAAAGTGCTCTGTTTCTTTTGGTCCACCAAGGAAATCCATTTATAGTGCATGTTCATGTAGAATAGATACAGTGAATGTGTGTTTTCATGGCACTGAGTGTTGTTGGCTACTTAAGAGGGCATTATTAATGCCCACCGATGCCGAGCTTTGCGATACACACTGTTTTCATCCAGAAATCTCAGTCCATCGTCAGTCTGAAGGGACCTGTTTGATGATGTGAAAAGTCGCACACTTGTCTCTGAGTAACAATCACAGTATGTTTGTTTCTTCCAGTTGCGATGTTCAGACAGAGTGGATCCACATGGCGGTCTATCTTTAATTAAGTAACAATAAACAAACACCCAGAAACAACAACCAGTAGCACAGACCCATGTACTCAAGCACATCAATGCTCTAAGTTATAAAAGAGGCACGAGGGAGGGATCTTAATCGGATCAGACTTATAAAACACACACAAACATTAAGATGTTTCTCAAATCATACCAAATGTAAACAGATAGCAAATTACTGTAATACAAAAATACAACATGTTTAAATCTATAAGGCCCGTGTTAGGCTCACATTAGGGAATAACATACCGTGACAGGTTGTACATTACAGCTACACTACAACTGACAGAAACCTGCTCATAGTGATTCAATTTCAGAATTTTCTTTTCAGGTTTTGTATAAAAAACAATTTCCTCTCGTGTTCTCTTTAGTTTTCTCCTCGGAAATTCAGATTCAGTAATCGTATAAGACATCTATATATAGCTAGTGATAAAAACGTACACATAAAAGAGGGTGTTTTTTTTATTCGCTGCGTGTCCATTGAAATAATGATGTATTTGTTAAAAATGAAAACTACCGATGACTGAATAATTTGCAGTGGGTCTAAAAGTTGAGAGAGGAAAAACTCTTTCTTGAAGATCCTAAAAGATGACACAGACTGTGATTAAAACCAACGCATATTTGGTAATGAATAAACAGAATATAAATAACAAAACCTGTTGCATTGCAAAGGAAACTCAAATTGTCAGCAAGCTATCTGGAAAAAATAAAACCCACCGCAAGAAAGAGAAGGCAGTCAGAGAGAAAGCTCATGAGGTCAAAAGGTGGCAGCCGTTCAAGTACATGCAACATAAAAAACAACTGCAAAATAAAACCCAGCAGCAGGAAATAAAACTGAAAAGAACTCACAGGAATTTAAGCGAGATAATGTTGCAAATTTCAGCCAATGAAGCCTTCATGGAATCATTTTCATCTACTGCCCCTTCAGGGAAGATTCTAAGGTTGCCTGACGGTTTGGCAATCAATCAATCAATCGATCAAAAAGCTCCCGCTACATATACAGGTCAGCAGTCACAGCCATTGGTGCTTTCATTGTAACCACAGTGGATCCATTACAGATACGGTTGTTAGTTGGAGGGAGAGTGTGTGTCTGCTTACGTGCACGAGGGCTGAAATAATAGCCTAAGAAATTTAGAGTTTAAGTAATTTCTTGGGGAAAATGCTAAAAATTCATTATTTGCTGCTTTTCACCGTTTAATATCATTGTAAACTGGATCTCCTCAGAGTGGACAGTTGGTCGGACAACATAACAGCGGTTATTTGAAGATGTCACCAAAATGTGACTACTTTTCTGACATTTTTCATTCCAAACGATTTATCACTTAGTAGTAAAAATAATCTAATTGATAATGAAACTGCAGTCACAGCCCTAGCGCGTGTCCACGCAGTTTCATTCCTGCTCGCATGTCTCAGTTCTCAGGTAGAAACTTACCACCATGTATTTTCTTCAGTTTATCCAAAAACTGTCGGACAGTGTTTTTTTTTTTAAACCCATAGAGAGACACGTAATCTTTCAGCATGAAAAAAAATGTTACGAGGTTTTCCCCCCCAACAGTGACAGCGTGTGCGGGGCGAGGGGGGTGGGGGGGAGGAGGGGTAAGGGTGGGGGGGTCCAAGTCCCGCTCAGACGTAACAGACGTACAGGTAAGTCTTTTCTATCCTCCAGTCCGCCGGCACGTCCTCCGGCTTGTGGCCCTTTATGTGCTTCTGCATGGAGGCCAGGCTGGGGCAGAAGTCCTGGCAGACGGTGCACTGGTACGGAGACGCCCCGTTGTGCGTGCGCAGGTGCTTGATCATGGCCGAGTAGTCTCTGGAACGTTGGTGACACAGCTTACACTCGAATGGCTTCTCACCTGAAAGATTCAACGACGGAGCGTTAACCTCGTCGACCCTGGCGCCGGAGCGGCTGCCAGGTGAAACGGGACTCACCTCCGTTTTCGGCGCACTGTACTTGAAGGGAGGCGTCGGCGGCGTTTGTGTGTGTTCGTGCTCTACGCTTTAGACCTGTATCGGTTTGCTAATTAGCTATTGGAGAGTCAGAGTCATCCAGCGCAGGTACGACAGAGGTTTGACCTCTGACCTCAGCGAGGAATCAGGTGGCAGGTTAGCCGGAATGAAATAGCCTGTTGCACATCTTCATGGTATATATGAGTGGTTCTGTTTTCGTATTCTGTATGTGATTTAAGACGATTCCACTTAAATCTTTTGACTCAGACATTGTTTGTGGGAAAGTATTATTTGAGTTTTTATAGATATGCTTTCACCAAAATGAGGACAAAATAAGTGACACAAACAACATTTGTCTGTAAAATAACAAAGAAATTCCACTTAAGGGACTTGTTGACAAAATCCTTTTAAATTGTGACCTATTAAAGAACGGAAGCAAACGACCCCCATTTGTCGATTAAAAAAAGCCAAAGACCTCGCTGCCCTGCGCGTTGGAGTGCGTCTTTGCCTGTGGACTCACCCGTATGGACGCGGTAGTGCGTTTCTAGCTGGTGTTTGAGGCTGAACCTCTTCCCACAGCCGTTGCACTCGTAAGGCTTCTCTCCTGTGTGGATGCGTTTATGGCCCCTCAGCGTGCCGTCGTCTCTGAAACAGCTCCCGCAGAATTCACACTCAAACGGGTGATCGCCTGAAAACACAGCAGCCGCCACACCAACGCAGCGCGTTATCGTCAGACACATTAAAAGGCACCGTCCTCGGCACTGCCTGCTTCGTGCTGCGTAAGGTCGACCAGTCAAAAGGACCTTTCTGCACGTGCACATCAAGCCGGGGAAATGTGCTTTCAGACGATGTTAACGTTATGACACGAGGACACTCCCCTCGGCTGCGCGCTAATAGCTAATAAAAGTCCGGCAGGCCTGTACTGCTCTGTTCTCTATACTGTAGCTAATCTATTTCTCTCCCAGGCTGAGGGTTTGACTCATCTCCGATGACCTATGTGCCTCATTATCTCAGTGTCCACAGCAACAGCCAAGTCAGAGGATACATTGCTCTCCTCATTACAGGCCGATTCTCCCCAATCCCCCGGCCCCACTGTGGAGCAGATGACATTTACAAAATGTTACTTCCAAGCAGAATGCCATACAAACAGGATACGCTGCCATGGCCAAAACTCCCTTCACTTCTGTCTCTTCACATCAATTATGTATTTGTCCTGTCTAGACGTCAAGCCATCCTGACAGCTGGGAGTGTTATTTAAGGTAAAAGAAGAAAGGGGGACATCTTTTTCAGTAAATATCTCGCAGTCTCCCGCGGCAGTAAAACTCACCCTTGGTAGAACACATAGACGAGTCATTTTCATTTGCTTTTCCTTCAATATTTATTTGGGTTTCCTCTCCTATCGTTTTGGGTGAACCGCACTGGAGCTGACAGCCGTGAATTGCGGAAGCCTGAAGGCTGTTTAAGAAGCCAAAATATAAACAGGATGAAATTTCCCAAAATATGCACCGGCCATAACGGTACAGTGCTGTCATCAGAGAGGTGACTCATCTTAAAGAGAAGTGAAAAGGAGGGTGGGAGAAGATGCGTGCAAATTATCATAAACCTTATAGTTACCCAAGGAAATCAACCCATATACATAAATAAATACAGCTGTCTTTGTCTCTTTTATGTAAATATGCGCGCATCTGACGCCACAGGCTGATGTTTCAGGACAGGAAACAAAACTACAGGCTTCGATTACAGTGGAAACGATCCGTTTCTTACCCGTGTGCGAGCGCAAGTGTCTTTTGAGGGTGGTGTGGCTGGGGAAAGGCCGCTCGCAGTGGCTGCAGATGTAGCTGTGCATGCCTGCGTGGACCTCCATGTGCTGCTGCAGGGCCTTCTGGGTCTGGAAGCGCTTCGCACACAGCAGACAGAACACCGCCATGTCAGTCCCTGGAGAACGCACAAGACACAGACACGCAGTTATTTCAGTACCATACACAGACAGGGCCCTAAGTGGGGAAACTGGGTCACTTCAACTTTGTGTGCGTCCTCAGAGGGAAAAGCTTCTTTCAAAGGAGCAAGTGCCTCTACCTAAACTAACTCCCCTAAAAGCCCACAGGCACTTTCAACTGCGGGGTCTTTGTACCTTCTATTTTAAAACCATGAAAGTCATTGTTTTCTACAAGAATTTCCCACACAATGCACAGCATGCCAATCACACAATCAATGGCTTCTTCCTGGTGCGTTAGATGTGTAATTATTCCCCCCATTCCCCATCAGGAGTCAGCTCCAGCCTGTGAAGTCCTCCGTCTCTGCGCTCAAAGAGCAGCTGATAGTGGCTCCACCCTAAATGATGCCTACTCCGTGCGCTCTGTGTGGAATGTTAAGTAGTGATATCAAGCCATTAAAGGCAGGACTGCAGGAAGAAGAAAAAAAACACAATCCAGTTTAATCCTGTGTGTGACCTGGCATCTCTTTGGGGCTGCTTTCCTGTTGCACCGTGTGTGGGGAGGAATACAGAGAGGGTGTTCGCTGGCAGGGCGCAGCTTCAGTCAAAATGGCCACGTGAAGAAGATCCACGGGCTGTCACACAGTCGACACTTGATCTACGCGCCGGGCGGCACGCGGATTCCGTTTGCAGGCATTCACGCCGATGCAAATTCATACATGCGGCGGAGACCGAGGGGACCGCTTGATCAGCCGCATTGGACGTAATGTGCATGTCCTGGAGAGTGAGGCTCTAATGTGAGATTATGAGGTCCTTATTTCTCCGTCTGCTCAGGTTGCAGATCATTTACAATGCTAGCAGGTCCCATTGCTCCTGACTCGGATTCAATCAGACATCTCCAGCGGAGGATCATTAGTAAACAGAGGACTGTGCCAGCACTTCATTGGAATTCAAGTGGGGTTGCTGTGTCGCATTTAAAATGCAGTCTGATGAGGTCCACTAAATCAAATCATTTGTTACTGTTATTGAAGTGCCTTGAGGCAACTGGCAATTAAATTGGAATTAACGCGGGGAAAGGGATACAGCACACTCATACTAAGAGGGAAGAGTGTCAGACACTTGCTTTAGGTTCAATCAAGTTAACAGGCGAGCCTGAAAGAAAAGGAAACAAATCAAGCAAATTCACATTTTCAAGGATGAATCAGGAACGTTCATTGTTTATTGTTTACTAATACACGTGTTGCATATTTGGGTCAAACAAAGCGAGAGGCTTTTATAGATTTCACGTTTCACGGAGAAGTATAGTTCGGCGTAGAGGAACAATGCCTCATCTTTGAAATTACAGGGCTTCTTTTTAAACCTAGAATTAAAATCTTCACCACAAAATGGCACCAATAGAACGGATCATTCGGGAATCATTAACCCGAAAGACGCCGAGATGAAAGACATTCCCTGATGCAAACAATCCTGCGGGGAGGCGATCCGGTGGAATGAACCGCACCTGTTCAGAGGCTTTAGCCTGTGGACTCTCGACACAAAGGGCACACAATGAGGTCCGGGCCCTCATTGACCAGGCCCATTAGTCATAGGCTCCTCGCACAGCTCCCACAATCCCTGTCCTTACGCCGGCGCCTAATGACCAAAGACCTTTCTCACCCACGGATCACAATATTTTAGTCGAAGACAAAAGACCCCCTCCCCTGTTTCTCAACGCCTCTGCGCCCTCTCCACTCCCCTTATTCGCTGACCGTACAGGAAACCCTTTCACTGTCCAACCAGCTTCCCTTTCTGTCTAACTAATGCCAGTTCACTGTGCAACAGTGGAGCCTGGATAATGATCGATCCAAAAATGGATAAAAGCATTTCAATAGGCACAGAATAGAGGCTCTGCGTGACCTGAGAGTTGGATCCACTCTCACCAGTTTGTCCTGTAATGTTGTGTGCAGCCAGCAGGGGGAGGGCTTTTTGCTCCAGCGTGGCTCAGATGAAGGCTGAGCAGAGCGGAGCCCCTCAAACAGCTAAATGGCATATTAACCACCGTATGGTTACGTCAAAGCTGCATTAATCAAACCCTCTACTCATTAACTAATCCCATATTTAAAATGTGTTTTTCTGCTGGTGTACTTTGTTCTTTCAGCTCTGGAAGTCCAACGCGCCAGTTTCTTTGTGCAGGTTAAACCGTTGCTCCTGACACACTCGCAGACTCTCACAGATGTAAATCCTGATCCTTCTGTCGCCAAATATACTGAAACTTCAGTTCACAAATATGACAAATATTCTGTCACAAGAATCTCCCTTTTGATCTCAGGTTGTCACACACTGACAACAGCTCAGCAGTCGCTTTTCAGTTTGATTCTGCGCAACCGACGCTGAAAATAAATATAACAAATAATATCTTGACGTGTAAACAAAACAAAAAAACGTTCGGAGGCAAGTGTTTGTATGTGTTTCGCTTTGCCATTCCTGTAAACTTTTCAAAGAAAAAGGATTTGCAGTTGTAGAGTTTTCCAGTAAGCTTGGCTAATAAGTGCAGAGGAGCTTCTTTATGAGGGAATAAGCCCTAAAGTTGGCCGTCACTGCCCTCTGCTTTCTCACCCTTAACCAGACAATGGGCTCGGGATTTGGTTTTTAAGGCACAGGATGACCCCTGACCCTTGGCCCTCAATGGGGTAAATACCACGTAATCAATGGTATTCCTCAAAGAGTTGACTGAGCATTGTGTTTACTGGGTGGGAGCCTTAACAGTGGGAATAATGCTGGGCTTTCAGGCACATCTGATGTGAGGCAGAACATATAAACATTTACTCTGCTCATCATGTTACTGAGCTGCTCGTCTTGCACAATTAGGTTGGCGATTCAGGGCAGTTGGAGGTTGCAACGCCATTTCAGCACATCTCCACTAAGACCATATGTGTGCTCATGTGACTTAACAGGGTCTGCCTTCATACATCTGCCACTTATTCAGCCCCAACCGAGGTGGGAGCGAGCCCACTCTCACGCTGCCGGAGAAACAAAACCATGTGTCTAGGCAACCAGATAGGATCATGCTCCTTGTTGGGGTGAAGTGTTCAAGCTAATCCCTTCATTCACAAATAAGCGCAGCCTGTTTCCATTCAAGCGGCAAACAAAAGTTTTCCCACCCTGAGAATCTGAGAGTAAACCCACCGCAAATTGAACAAGAGATTGTATTCAGTGACGACCGCAGATCTGTATAATTTCTTCTGTGATAATCTAAACATCAGTGTCCCGAGCCGACCAATCAACTGATTGATTTGTGTATAATTTGCCTTTTAAATTTGCTAAGAATATTTGGGAACAAAACACATCAGTTAAATGGAAGTATTTAAAGAGATCGTAGAGCGTAATTTTATCTATTAAGTGTATTTGTTTGGGGAAATGGAGAATGACATTTAATTTCAAACTAAACAGCAAATATTCTGCTGCCATAAAAAAGGGAATTACACACAGATTTTACATCTTGGCTGATCGTGTCCTCTAGCTAGAGAATGCTGCTCAGTGTACACAATGAGATCACAGATATCACCCAGTTAAACATCCACAGTTATGCAGGCTGCATTACGTGCTAGACGTAACACGACACGCCGCTGTATGTGTTCATGCAGACAGCTCCTCGAGCAGCACATACACAAACACTACAGTACCTTAAACAACCTCGGGCGCTCATCGGCAGACTGCTAATCTACCCGAGCGAGGAACAACCGACTCAATAATTAATGCAACAAGTGATACGTTCCTCGTGTTTAACCACCATTCCGTGGATCGGATCTGTGAGGTCGCACGCGGGTTTCATTTGCCTCGATGCCGAGAATGTTTACAATATCTTTTCAATCTACTATATTTCAGTCAATGGGAGATGACGACGAGGAATCCCGGGTCTTTGTGTATCATGATGACAGTGGAAATTAATTTTAGGACGCAATGGCCAAAGACAGCACAGTTCAAACCAGTTTGAGGCTTGTATGAATTACAACTAGGCATTAACAGGAGGGTGTAATATGATGACAGACACACAATTAGGGGAGCTAAAAGGTCTGCGTTATAGAGCCGGCGCTGTATCTGAATGAGCTACAGGACTGTTTAATCAGGGCTTGGACAGAAGGTAATATTATTCACTTGATGAGGCAGCCTGTTATGTCTGGAAACAGTGCAGCTGCTGTGAGTACACAAAGGCAGCACTCTCATGGCCTTTGCCTTGAAGGCAAGGTGGTAAAATGGTCTGCCAGTATGGCCTGAAGCACACTGTATACAGTCAGTTTGTGTGCGTGCTGCAGATAAGCTACTTGGGTTTTTCCAAAATTGAGAACTCCGTGCCCCAGAGCCCTTGAATTGCTCTGATGAAACAAACCCCTTTGTTGTGAGAGCAATTCGGAGACGGATCCATTCTTTTATTTTGGGCACCGACAAGTAGGTCAGAGGAGACTATGACAGTGCTGTGCTGAGGAGTAAATAGCAGCACATGATGTTGTTTTCCTCTTAGTGCTGGCATCCAACACCAGCAGCGATCCTCCTGCCCTCAGGAAGTCCCCACATGCCCCCCACCCCCGTCCCTTCCCACAGTCCACTCCGCCCCCACAGATCCTCCACCCCCCTCTTTGATCTCTAACTCCAGCAAGCCACGGCCAGTCACCTCTGACATATCGAAACAGCTAAAGAGACTTTCGCTGGCAGCCAGCGTTCCCAAATCAAAGTAAGTTCCTTTAAAAGTAGCGTTATTTCCCTTCCCGGAGGAGGTTGGACAGCGGTTTTGAAGCCGCTGAGGTCTGATACGTGTTAATCTGATGAGAGGGAACTCGTGTGGCTCACCGGTTACGCCACAAGGCAAATTTAAGCCCAGGCGGCACGAAAGGGCAGAAAGAGAGATCCTGGGCCAAATCCTCAACGCAGCGGATTTAATTACCTGTAACTCGTGTTAGCGTGGGCTACAACACAAGGACCAAGAACGACGAGCAACAATGAGAGTGCGTCTAACGGGTCGCAGTAGAGAGAGCGGAGACCACGTCGGAACAGGGGGGAGCGATGCCCTCCTGTACCCTGATCTGGGTACAGCGCCAAGCTGAAACCAGGCCCTGCATGTTTACAATTTGGGCAGGCGAGGGCAGAATCTTTTGGGCATCGTTAACACCCCTCCATGTCCACGGGCATTAAGTATTCATACTGTGTGTGCCACCTGCAGTTACAGTTACACGGCAATGCTCCTGCGAGGGTTATCGTCTTTCTCTCACAGTAGCAGAAAAGGTGTGGATTCAGACACCGTGAGGCTTTTGCATCGTCTGACAACTACACACACTTATTTTTCACAGTCAGAGAGTCAAGCAAGTGATTCTTTCTCACTTTAGGGTAATGGGATGTTATTCAAGAGTAAAATCCCACTTCACGTCACTGCGTACTTGGAGACTCGCATGGGTTCATATTTGACTGATCATCATCAATGTGTTGACAGACAATAGATACATAGATAGATTTTTTTTTGGTCCACCCTAAGGGCTGTAACTAAACGTTTATCATTATCAAATGTCATTACTAATGCATATTTTGATCATTTAGATGTTAGAAAATACTTAAAGGGTAAATGAAAACCTGAGGGATTTCTTTTTCGGTCTCAAAAAAATACTTTTACTTGCAAATATTGACAATAAATGTTTGTTTTAAGCGGTTAATCAATTCTCAAAATGTATCATTTTCTGTCACTTCGCTAATCTGTTAATCAACTAATATTCCCAAAAAGAAAATAAATAAGCCCTATGAAATATCTTGTATGTAAGTCATTCAATGTGTACATACTCTGATTTCTTTTAAAGCTTAAAGCAGAAAATAAAAAACGACCAAAAACTGCTTAAATGTAAGCAACCAAACCGTAACATTATTTTATAACAGATGGAGAAATAAACATGAAAGAGATCAATCATAATAATGTGGCACAAGAAGTAGAAAGAAGAATATACAAAACGTATAATAATGATCTCTTGATAATAATATAAATGCTAATTGTCTGATTAAAAAAAGTCTACTCTTATTTTTCTGGACATTGTAATAGTTTATACAGGTATTTTTCCATGTTTACATATGGCCTTATGTCATTGTTTCCCTTTTATTCTCCCCACAAAGCAGAATACTGTAGCTGGCTTGCTTCCAATAATGAAGAAGTCTGATAATATCTGTTTTAAGAATTGATTTAACAGATGAAAGCAACCAGTTCCTCAAGTCTCCACGGTCAATGCCAGTCATTCAATGAACAAAACGCTCGTGAAACAAACATTTTCTTAAGCTTATTGAAAAACAGAAGGTGTTTGTCTCGGTGTTGAGTGTGGGGTAAATAACTCTGCAGGCACGAGGTGAGGATGACATATCTGTGACTCTGACACTGTAATGTTGGTGCTGTAAAGCTGCGGCCGTGGCAAAGTGGCATGCCAGTGGGTTTGGATGCCAACAGCTATCACAGGGTGACATGTGAGAGCGCCGCCCACCTCCACGTTGATGAATTATGGAGCATCGTGACGGGGAACGGTTGAACCGAGCTAGCATGACAGGCAAGTTTAGCCCCGCGATCGCAATCCCCGTAGTCACGGATTACTCAACAGTTCAATGCGTGCCTTCCAGGTCAGACAAAATGTGTGTGAGTGTGTGTGTGTGTGTGTGTGTGTGCGTGCCGGGTAGTTCATGCACATTTGTACAATTACCTGTGTGCGTTTGCCTGTGGGCTTCCAGAGCCTCCTCTGAGGAGAACGTGGCTCCGCACTGATCACACACCAGCGCCTCCGCAGGAGCTGTAGGTAGAATCACATCCACATTAAGGTATCTCCATCAGACAGTAATGTGTGTTTGTAATTGTAGAGCATGTCAGTTAATTTAGCATTTAAAAAGGGAACTGTGGGAAAAGCGACAAGACGGGAACAAAGGAGCCCTCGTTTCAAAAGTCACCAGAGAGCCTCGCTTGTCACACACTTGTGCTTTTCAGGTGTTCACACGAGGAAGCCAACGCACCGAGCACAATGGCGCGGAGGAAAGCGCCGTAAAAAAACACAACGCAGGACAAACAAAAGCACCAGACAGGGTGCAACGGCCCTTCTTCTTGACAAAAAAAAAAGAAAGAAAGAGCGGCGCTGGAGTTTTATTTACCGTGGCCTGTTATCAGTCTCTGAACAGTGAGCAGACTGTCTGCCTGAGAGGCCACAGAAGGACTGGGTGTTCTCTCCACAGCCTGCAGCACATCCCTTTATCAAGAAGAAATAAATAATCCCATCGCATGCACTGTAACTACAGTTCCCAGTTCACCTTTGGAACGCCCTTGTCTATTCTGATGAAGGCATGAAAGAGACGAGTATGTATACTGCTTCCAGAAATGTTCGATGCTTGTTCTGCACTTACTTCACACCTGCACAGACAGACACGTACACACACACACACACGCGCGCTGCACACACAGCTGTTTGGATGTGGGTTGGCTCTCACAGAGATGTAAATCGGTTGCAGATCCATACTGGCCCAGGGCTCATTCACTGATCTATTTTCTGCTCAGCTGGCTTTAAATGAAGTTAAAATGACTCATTAAAACACCCACAAGCTTTGGGGAACTCTGAGCGCCACACAGCCTAAATGTGGTCCTCTTTCAACTCTCACGATGCCTCTTCAAGCAGACACCATGCCACTCTTTCCCAGTGCCGCTCACAAATAAGCAAAAAGACCCAATCTGTTCATTTCTAACAACCCCATTTTTCTCAAAAACAAACTGGTGACTGTTTTGTGATCCCTCTGTTTTGTTACACTGTACAAAAATAAAACTTGGTGGAAAGTGGTTATATAGGAGCAACACGAGAGCAGCGTTGCAGACGCTGATGTTGTGTGACGCCGTCCAGTGTGGTGTGTTGTGTTGTGTGAGATTGTGTGATAAGGGAAGAAGAGAACATAGTGCATTGTCTTGTGCAGTCAAAGGCACGGAGTGTGCTCTCATCCATAAACCATCAAACTGTCTCCAGACGCGGCTGCAATCGTCCTCCATCAAAACACTTTGTCTGGCATACCAAAATAAGAGCCAGCATCGAGCTGAATACCAAATCAGCCCATTAGAGCAGTGGAGCACTCGCTCCTTAGCAACCAGCGGGATCTAAGGCTGCTATACCGAAATACACAGTGACAAAGAAATGAGATCCACATCTCTTTTTTTTTGTAGTATTACAGGTTGACACATCGGTATGCGGAGAGTTTATACAGAAATTCAAATGAGGTTAAAGGTGCTGCTGTTGTTGGTGTCACTGTGAATTGAAAATCAAAGATCTGCTAGTATTTCAACACAATGTGTGTGTGTGTTTAGGGTTATGCAGAGGCTATGAAGGGACGACTCAGGTGGAGTTCAAAGAAGCAGATTCTCTGTCATCTGTCAGCAGTATGTCATGTTGGAGAGGACAGGGACCTCGCCTTGTCTATACACATATTCTGACTGAGGTTTATGTTTCTGTTTTAGTCTCATTTTTAGCCCCCCCCCCCCATTTCCACCCACCTCCCCCCCCTCCCTCCACTCCCCCCTCTGCTCCTCTTTCTCTATTTTGGATAAAGTAGCTGGGAGAGCAGTCAGGTCTGATTAAGTCTGCATTTGGGTACAGTGTGTTCCTGGACACACATCTGCGAGCGAGCCATCACACACGCTTCGGAACACTGGCAGAACACCCAGGCCTGCCGGCAGCTGATGATGTCATCACTCAGAAGGGGCAGAGCTGGCGTGCCGCCAGAGTCTCCAAAAAAAAAAAAAGAAAAGAAAGAAATACACGGAAACGATTCAAACGGAGGGAGAGACTAGAGAGCGACGGAGAGGAGAGGGTGAGAGAGCTACGTGGACGTAAGCATGGAAAGGAAGGCATGATCCAAGCATTCGGAGCAGCACTGACTGGTGGGGGGAGAGGGGTGGAGGGGGGGGGCGGAACGGTAGCATGAACAGGTGCATTCGAAAGGACGCACGATCGAGGGGCTTCGTGGGCACCGAATACTCTGAGATGAGAGTGCAACAGTTACTAAGTACCTGTGTGAGACAGCATGTGCATCCTCAGCCGCATGCTGTCCTGGAAGTGTTTGCCACAGTATTCACAGCCGTGGCCCTTCTCCTCGTTGTGCAGCCTCCTGTGGAAAGACAAACACACAAATGCGAGCGTGTTAAGAGGACTGGGACGAGAACAGAGCGAGTACGCACTCGTGATAATAAAAAGTAGCTCGGTTCTGCGCCTTTTTTTTTCTTCTTCTGTAAGGTCTCCCTAACCCAGAAGCATCATTGTCCTCGTAACAAGAGGAGCATGTTTTAATTCCGTCAAGAATCCCTGGCTGAATGCAACATCATTAGTGTGAGAGGCCCTTGGAGTTGTGAATCACAACGCATGAATGCAAAAAGAACACAGACAATAGGATATCTTGCTAATTTCAGAGTGCAGACATACGCGTGCCTCCACCCGCGAGCACTGCAAGACAGTGGGCATACACACAAGAACACACGCACGCGCACAAACACACACTTCTCCTGTAACCGCAATGAAAAGGAGAAAAGAGGATGATTCGCTGAAGCTCTGCCGGCAGCAAAACCTATCATATCATATCACACACATGCGTGCGTGCGAGGCATCTGTACTGTTGTCCTTACATCACCCTGCTAACAGCCTGCAAAGACTCCACCATTAAATCAACTCAGTGGTCAAAATAAATGAGTCTCGAGATACAACTTAGCACGCTTGAAATCAACATTATCCTGTTATGGAAAAGGGATATTTTTGGAGCTACATCATCAGGATCACTAACAGGGTTTTTCTTTCTTTTTTTCTTCTCTCATTTTGAAAGATCTCCCTGAAAGATGACAAAGTAAAAGAGCGTCAGTGTTGTTTTATTATTCACGGTTTCATGATGCCCCAGTAGTCTGAGGTTTCCACCATGTAACTGTGATATGTATAATTCATTTTTCTTTCTCTGCACATTTAATGATGTGAAGTAAAGAAATACGGAGCGTGATGGAAGTGCAGTGGTTTGAAAGGTTAACCATGGAACCACACGTTACATACACGCAGGTCGGCTTCGGCTCAACAGGTTTATCGCATTTCATCTCCCACCTCTGTCGTCTCATCTCCTGCGTCCACAAAGTAACAACACAAAGGTCTCTGACAAATAAGTTTGGACTATAATGCTATTATTTCAATCCCTATAAATGAAGTAATTATTTAAAAAAAACAGGTGCTAGATCTCCATATAACCGTAACCTGTCATTGTGAAGGCATCCTCTTTCAAAAGTAATGCAGATTTCTACCTTTGGTTTCTATTCCTTTACTCTACAAGGTCGACTTAAGCGAGCATCCAAAACCAAATCTGTCAATTATCTGCTAGTGTCTGTAAAACTGTCAACGGAGAACCTTTCACAACCAAAGTTCCAAATGTCGATCTGCACACCAGGTGTTTGCTCAGTGACCTGATTACAGACCTACAAAAACTTCATTTCATCCTTAAGCAGTGTCACCGACGCACCTCCTCCTACCTGCGGACATGCGGCTGTCTCCATGAGTAAGCACTGCGCATCACTAAATATCCCACAGGATGCTCCGTTTCACCGGGCGGCTTCAACGCGGCACGAGGCTGAAATGTCAGCCACGGGCGCGGAGGACAGGGGGGAGGGGGGCGTGATCCTAATCATGAGCTAAATGCAAAAATTAGAGACTTTCGGCTCACAGATTTCCTTGTTTCTAATGATTATTGATGAGTCAAACACTGCCAAGCCCGCACAATTAAGACGCATCCGCAATTAAGTTAATGAGAGTCGTCACTGTGCTAGTCGGTAACTTTTTGAGGACAATGACAGAATGGGAGCTGACAGGCTCGTGAATAAAGAAGGAATGAACTAAACACGGCAGAGCAGGTTGCGAAGCAGAAGTTATCCATCATCGAGCTGAAGCGTCCAGTCTGGTCCCTGCTGAGAGGCTCCTCTCTACTGAAGCAAAGGAATGCATATCAAACAGCCCGGGAGGCAGCCTGTTGTTGTGTGGGGCGCGCTCCTGCACAAATAATCTAATGGAATTTAGGAAAATAAAGCGACGTAGATAACAGCGTAATCCCGCGATAAGGCTTTTTTACATCAAAGACCCAATTCAATACTTCCCCCGAGTTGCCTCACTGTTAAGACACGAGAGCAGGTGTCCCTGAGAATGAATTAACATAATTGCTGTTGCTCCTTCCAGCTTTTGACCCTCATAGTATTTTTAACATACTGTGGGGGGGGGGGGGGGGGTAGGGGGGATCTTGCAGACCAAGAAACAGTCCTTTTCCCAAAAGAATAATCAGCTCACATTCATCTGGCTGCGCAAGCTCGCCTGCACCTGCACATCCCTCAAAACCTTTATTTTACACGCGACAGATGTTTGTTTGTAGAAATATTGAGTGTAGAAGTGCCATGAAAAATGTCCCTGACAATATGACAATGCCCTCTTTCTTTTGGATTTGGCAAGTTATTGTCACCTTTGGGAAACACGAAAAAAAAAGACGTTTGAAAGTGGATTCAAAATGAAGTGTAGAAAGAAATGCGTCTTTCGCACGTTACCTGTGCTGCTCCATGGCCTGCCTGCTGTGCAGCTGAAGCCCACACTCGCCACAGCACTGCTGGCCTTGAGCCGGCCCCTCGTGCCTCATCCCTGCTGCAAACTGGCCCAGCCTGCTGAGGAGCTCCCGGTGCAGCAGGCCTTGCTGCAGGAGGCCCCCGTAGGCCCTGGGGTCCAGCGGCACGCCCAGGGACGGGGCCGCCGAAACGGACACCGGCAGCATCCCCTCCCCTGTGTGGTTGGCGGGCACGGAGTACACGGACGCCAGGTGTTTCTCAGAGATCCCGGGGAAGCAGTCGAGGGGGTTCCCCGCCGCTGGTCCTCCGTCTTCTGGGCCTATGTGCAGCTCCCGAGCGCTGGTGATCACGCTGCCTCTCAGCGGCGTCCCCGGGCCCTCGTCCCTGGGCTGGTCGGACACGCAGCTGCCCTCCCCGGCGCTGGAGGACCGGCCCTCGCAGCCGTTGCCGTCGTCCACCTGCATGCTCTCTGATTTGATACTTCTGCCGGGATCCAGGATGGAGGCTTGGGATAACTCTGAACGGCCACGCCGAGGCTGCTGGGAGCTCTCCATGTCTTCCTCCGCGTCCAACTTGGGGCTCAATTCAGGAGCCGCCTTGGGCTCCGGGCCAGGAGAGCTTCCCTCCGTCATGTGGTAGAGCGCAAGGTGGTGCAGAGCGGTGGGAGTGACGCGGTTGTGTCCATCCTGTATGGAATGCTTCTTGGACATCAGCATGTGCCTCCAGTGCCTCGCCCTGCTGTAGTCGCTGTGGTCTCCGGCGCCGTGAGTCTTCGCCGCCACCTCCTCGCTCTCCTCCGCCTGGATGGTCTCCAGCACCTTCAGGCACTGCTCCTCCAGGTACTCGATCTCCAGGATCTCGGCGGCGTACAACAGGTCATCCAGGTCCTCGGCCGTGGCCTGCAGCGAGGCGGTGTAGGCGTACTCCAGGATCTGCTGGAAGGTCTTGGGGGACAGGAAGTCCAGGGCGTAGCGTAAGCTGCTGCGGTGGAACAATATTTCGAACATTTTGCTCGTGCAGGCCAGGACGGTGCGGTGCGCCGGGAACTCCTGGCCGTCCACCGTGATGATGACATCACACAAGGTGCCGGTCAGACGCATCTGATTGGCGCGCTGCAGAAGCGTGCCCGGGTGGGTGGGATTGTGGAGCTGGAGCACCCCCATGTTTGTCAGACCCGTATCCACTCGGACCTTTGCCCAGCCCACGCATGAGGTGTGGGGAGTCCTGCCTCCTTCGCTTGCCTTCAGCTAGTTGCAGCTCTGTGGTTGGGGTGGAGGAGGGAAGGAGATAAGGAAGGGTGGAGGACCGTTAGAAGGAAGTCTCACTTTCGATGTGATGCAAAGCACCAGAGCCCACTTTCATCCATGATCAATATAAATATTTTTGAGGAATAATATTTATTGAAAAATACTGTTTTAAATTTTCGTTCAAAACAAAACCGTATTCTCTCTTCGTTTTTTATTTTATTTTAGTGCACGCTCCATGTTTATGTATTTTAATTAAGAACCAGAAGCAGACAACAGGTCGATAGGCGCAGAGCAACAGTTTCCATTGCAGGTGATTATTCTGAGGTCTCTTTGAGAGCGGTCACCTCTCTGTAATAACGTCTGCACGCCGAGAGGAGACGGCTCAATTTATCAAGCTCCTCGCGCACACGCGCACGCGCCCTCAACAGGTAGGCCCGCTATTTAACGCTCGCCTCGAAGGGCCGATTAGTTCATTTACGCTGCGCGCGCTCGTGATTGGACGCGTTAAAGGCGATCACGACAACAACAAAAAATCCCGAAATAAGTTGCAGAAGTATGGAAATGATGGAAGCACGACGACGTGTTCAGCCGGTATAAAGAGCCCAACTGGGAGCGTGAGTGATGCTGTAGGACTCTGTTGGGGGGGTTGTTGTCGGACCACTGAGCAGCACTGAGAGTGATGCTGTCAGGCTGCCGCATCCTCAACTAACCGCAACACCGGAGCGCATCAGGTGCACGCGCACATATCCACCTTTATTATTCAAACACATTGCGACAAATTAACCCTCGGCGCGCGCGTCGAGGGCGCGAGTGTTTTTTTTATTTATTTTTTTTACTGTCAGCGCGATGATTGAGGGGAAGCGCGAGCGCTCCGTTGCAATAGAAGAACCCTTGTTTATCCCTCCCCCCCCCCAAAAAAAATAAAACGGACAGTCTGCGATGCCGAGTGAGCTCAAGTTTGTAAAATGTTGGATCGAGCTGCGGTGAAACTTGTCAAATCTGCTGCCAAACGATATTATAACGACCCGGTGAAAAAGAAAGAAACTGACATTATTCAGGATATTCATTCCAGAAATAAGTCAAAGATTGGAAAGTACAGTTCATGGGAGCTCAGTCGCGGAACGTGATGAGTCGGAATAGTAAAAGTGTCGCCTGTCCCCGCGGCTGTCCTTACCTCTGTCTCCTAGCGTCCTCCGCTGATCAGCCAGGCAGCATCATGGTTACACATTTCACAGTACCCGCTCCAAACTCAGTGCTGCTCCGAGGAAGCAAATCAGCAGCCAGCCGCGACGCGCCAACCAGCAGACAGCAGCGACGTCAGCACTTCCGAGTGAGGCCTTCAAAATAAAACGGACCTTCAGACGCACGCTGAGAGGCGCTTGACTCGCTGCGTCTTTGTTGAGAAAAGCAAAGAAAGCACCGTGAAAATAGCTGCAACCAAACAAAAAGATTTTTTTTTAATTTAGTTTGGAAAACGGAGAACTCTAAATACATTATTTACAATTTCCCATCTTTTAGGTAACAATCAATAACAAACAAAGACAGCAAACTTCTCTGAGTACAGATTTTAGAAGATGCATTGTGTTTATGATTTACAACAAGAAACCCTTATTTTCGTGTTCTGCCTCAATACAAATGTTTTTTTTTTCATCAAATCTGTAACTCATCATTCTTAATATGTTGTGTTGCTTACCTTCATTTGGGTACAAAGTTACACAAGGGTGAAGAAGAGAAATTCTGCCTGCATTTCTTCTGCTGTGTGGAGAAAGCAGGGAATGAAAATGTTTAGACATTGGGAGAACTCACTTGTTGTCTTTAAAGTCAGGCAAAAATGTGGGAGGGGTTCTTTGGTGTGCAAGCATTGTTGAGCAAGTGGGGGAAGGGGAGCAAGAGGGACATAACTCAATCATGTGTCCGTTTGGAGATTATTGAGATGTTGCAAATCATGCTGAACGCTGCTTCTGCAATTGTTGTCATTTTTGACATTTCAACAGATGTTTGCTCGGGTATATTTTAAAAACACTATGCGGCACTCTGGTGACCCAGTGCTCTAAGGCGCTGACCCATGCGGTCAACTGAGGTCAAGAATGTCAGTCCACAATAATACACCCATCCCCCCTTCAGCCAACACTCTTCAAGTATTTGTTAACCGTTGAATTATTTCCCTCCAATCTATTCTCTTAACACAAGGGTTAGAATGGTACAACAGGAAAAGAGTCCCCGTGGATGATACAATTATTACTATTTTTTTGTATTACTTTAATGTTGACTTTAAAGCCGGAACGTTAATTGAGGCTGAACTAGTGCAGTGAGCCTATAATACCCTCCATGTGTAGGTTCTAAAGTGTAGAACACAGCAGTGAATGGCAACTAGGAAACATTCAACACATTTTGAAATACTCAAGCACAACCATACAATGGTCCTTTCATACTGCACTTATTTACATGCTGTAGTTTACTTTGAACAGGGTTTGTGTACATGGTTTTTATCAAATAAAATGATGTGTATTGATTAAACGATAGATTATTCAAAATGATTCAAATTGGCTCCTTACTTGTCCATTCCTTCTGCATAACAACTACTTTGTCAACAGGGGCTGATAATACTTCATTTGAGTAACAGTTATCTAATTACAATTGGTGTATTGTGCTCAACTATTGCACTAATATCACATATCATTTTTAATGAAGTAAGGAAAGTAGGGAACATTTTAAAGCCCTAATGGTGTATTGCTTGTGTTTTCCTCAATGATCTAACATGATCTCCGCAGTAAACATTTAAGCCTTTTAAAATCACTGCAACTTAATAGAGCTCCTGTTGCATTTCTAATCCGCTCCCTCGTCCCTCCCCCCCCTTACTATGGAGGCCAAAGAAGCCGACTTCCTGAATCCTTCTCGCGTGCTCTCTGCTGACTTGACTGGCTGCAAAAAAGAAAAGAAAAGAAAAAGACTAAACCTGCTCGGGTCGACGTCACGGCTGTGACTGATCGCCTCAGCTCCTCGTCCCTCCATCAGGGATGCATCACAGAACGGGACTATTGGCAGGGAACCAGTGTGTTGTTCTGGAACAAACACTAAAACTGAAGCTGTTGAATGCAGATCGGGTTTAAATATCAAATCGGTCCATTTCCCAGAGATGGTAAATTGGGTAAGAGGGGACAGTCGGTGGGACAGTCGGTGCGGACACTGTGTTGACATCGCAGAGGTTTGAAGGATCATGTCACGTTAGACGTTGAACAGCTGAACATATCAACGACTCACTGCTACTCAGTATTTTGTGATCTTTGCCCGGAACTATTAACTTTACTTCAGCAAAAACAAACAAAAAAACACGCAGCACGTAACACGTGTTTATTTCCTCCATCTATTTCAACAAGGATATTTATCTACCTAACATAACCTGTCTGTAAATAGTCCTCTGTGTCCATGACACGGCGAAAACACAAAGCGCGCGGAGGCTGAGCCACTACCGCCACCTAGTGTTCAAAGCGCGTCCCTACACACGCGTGCATGTCTAGTTATTATATATATATCACATCTAGTATTTAAAAACAAAGTAGACAATGACAACATTTGATTCGGAAACCATTTTTTTTATTTTGCAAACGAGTTAACTCTCAGACTGTACACAACAGATATTATCTGAGTTTGACCTGATGGAACCAGAATGAGCGCCCGGTGACCAGGGAGCAAGACGGTCAGGCAACATCAGTGGACAGGTGAGCGAAGCTGGTCACACCTGCATTCGCGTCTCAATACAAGCTTTTCTCCCAAAATGTAATCTCCTGTTCCAGCCGGTGACCCCCCCCCTCCCCCCACCCCCTGCTTCCTGTCAATGTTCACCCTGAACCTCTTGAGAAGTTGCTCTCTTGAGGGATTTTTTGTTGTCCAAAAAGCCAAACTGGAAAAAAGAATTAAAAGCCCCCTTTCCAAGAACCCTTGAGAAACACCTTGGGGGGGGGGGGGGGGGGTAAATAAGAACAATGTGTAATAATGGCAGAACAAGCCCCCAACTGTAACACTCGTTGAATTGGGATGAGAGTTATTTCCCCCCCATGGGAAACAAACATGGGTACGTTATAAAGTACTGACTCAATTCATGCCAAGGCTCAAAACATCTTCCTTCACTATAGCTGGCAATATATAGTGCTGTGACCAGACCGACAGTTTCATACACCACACGTGTTATAATGACCACATTAGTCCATGTATCGTACTTTTCTTCTATTTATACAATATATTAAATTAAAAGAAAAGGCTAAATCTCTCACGACAAAGCTATGCAGATTATCATACAGACGGATGACAAGACAATCTAATGACACACGGGCACAGCGCACAAGCTTGCAGGCAGGAAATGGAAAATAATGGGTTAGTAGCTTTTAAATAGTACAAAATGCTTTTTTAGAACTTTTATTCATTTTTTTTGCTTTAAAAGCACAACTCAAAGTACAAAGCAAGACCTTCGGTCTGCTTTGATATGAGGAGGAAACGGCAGCCGTCGCCTCCTCCCAGACAAATAAGAGTCGTACATTTAGCTCAAGATCGTGAGATTCACCGTTCTTCAACACACGGCTGAGAATCAACAGTTCCACTGGCAGTTTGTTCTTTCAGAGGACGTTTGTTATCCAGTACATTTTGTTAACAAATAGCATCGCTGTGGTAAAGGCAGAAACAGACCGATTATATTATACCATGAAATGGACCATATTTGATCCCATAATACACACGGTTGATGTGTTGCGGGATTCTCTCTTAATCTTTTCCCCTCCTGCAGCCGGCTGTGGGTTAAACCTGTATCTTTTATAACCATAGCAAATATGGTTATAGTCCAAACATCGAAGTCTGTTTAATCAACGCTAGCGTATCTGTGAGAGATGAAAAATCCCTGTAGGAGACAAAGTGAAACTATAAATCTTGTAAACAAAACTCTACAGCCACTTGCAGGTCAGACATGCAGAACAAGCTAAATGAGACAAGCTTGCCACTCAGGAGGCCAAAATAAAATAAATGCAATGTTTACATTTAAACAGGAGAACATGAAAATAAGAAGAATCGTTTCTATATATATAGACAGGTTCTTTTTTATCGTTTTCTTTTTTACATTTCCCATAATAATCCAAAACTTGTACGTAACTGCAAACCAAATGCTCGGAACAGAAAGTACAGTCGAACGTCACACATTTACTAAGCCATCCTTGGAATAAGAGATTGTCTTTAAACGTCCTGACGGGTTAAATAAAACAACAATAAAAAAATAAAATAAATCTCTTGTGATGATAAAGATAAACCTCTTGGGTGTAGTAAACATTTCAGGAATGAAACCAGAACTGAAATTACTGTCAAAGTGCGCTCTAACCAATCAACACGCGTGTGCCGTTTTGAGTATGTTGTTAAGGGCACTGGAAATCAAAACTCTGCAGTGTTTCTCGCTCGTTTGCTGCTGCAAAATGTTTGGTATCTGGCCGGGGCTTTCCCCCCTTCCCATCATGCTTTGCTCTCAGTGGTATTTGTCTGTATGACACTGTTGCGTTGGGCAGAGATCTCCGTCACGGCGTTCGATAAGTCTGCCTCCTGCAGCTTGCCTTTATCATCGGAAAAACTCCTGCAATGGAAGAAAGGGGGGGGCGGGGGGGTGCAACATTAGAAGTCTGCTCATCTGTGGGTGGACAAACAAAAGCCTCAGCAAACATATATTCTCAATGACAACTTCACCCAATATGTAAGAAGACAATGCTTGTAGAGGTCTTCTTACATATTCCTTCACCACATTGACAGTCAGATCAATTTAAGGAAACAGGTAACGACATAATCGTATCATCGACTAACCGTCCTGATCCAAAGCAGTGTTTAGCAAATACAAACTACTCATTACTTGTACATCAAAGAGACTATGATGGCACAGCATAGGAACCCTGTGTTTGTTCATCTTATAGCAGTGAAGCACAGGATAAAGATCCTTCACGCAGCTCCTCTGCTCTCTGCTGTAATTCAGAGGAGGAAACACGCCGTCTGAACTCGGTTGTTTTTAGCAGAGATCAATTTAGTGCAACACTGAGAGGCATCCAGTTATTGCCTCAAACCAAAAGCCCCTTTCAGACATGAAAAATGAAAGATTGTTGGATTTCATCTGTTAAATTCACACTTTCTATTATTCAGATGCACTGTAGATGTATTTGTTACTGCTTAGAGCAGACAGGACGGGAGCGTTAAGGAAAAGGCCGGAACGCTTGTGCGATGTTGCCATCTGGTGCACGAGAGGTGGAAGCAGCACCACTCAGGTGGAAAAGAAATTTAATCAAGGAAGAGAACATTTTCTGTTCTCTTGGCCGGCTGCATCAGTGATTCGACTTTTCAGTTGAAGCCAGAATTTATGACTATTGGGACAGCGATGCTCCACCCATATAAATCAGAACTTATTAGAGAAGTGTACTGCGTAGTTTACAGCGTCCAAAGACAGATTGCTGTTGTTCTCGAAAGGATTAATTACAAAAATGTGGTTGATTTGCAATGTCACAGTAAACTTTTCTTTGATAATGAATGAATTTGATACAGTGCTTGTAAGGCGGTGGAACAACATGTGCTTTTCATTTCTCTCTGCGTATTTAACGTTGAAGCTGCCGCTGTAACGCAGGACGCCTGAATGGTAGCAGTTCAGAACCAACCATTCAAATCACAACGCTGCACACTTTCAGCCCGTCTCGGCTTTGAACCTATTCATACACATTTGTAAAGACCAAAAGCGAGATAGTTGTGTAACAAATGAAAGTGAGCTTGACAGAGAAAAAGTTCAAGCCCTGCTTGCTTTCTCCCGTCCGCACGTTGGATTGTCAGTGCCGATTAGCGCGTCGGGGAGACGTCTGCTTGGGGGGGATCGGGCTCGTGGAGCTGTTGAACTAAAGCGCCCGTCAGAGTGTTGCGGCACGCCGCCAGCTTTGATCTGACAGCATTCAATGCTGAACGGTTGCTGGGCTAGTAATCCTGTCTATGTGACTTTTACAGTTCCTCGGTTAGGAGACAGACATGTAACATTGCTTCACACTCGTGTAACAAGCTGCATGTCTTACTTACGTGAGGAATTGAGGAAAAGCAGAGACTGTTACACACACAAGCATCAAAATACGGAACCATCAAATCACTCGTCTATCACGATCCACAACATCCTGCTAATAGTTACCACAGTTTACCATTACAGTATGTCATATTGTGTGGTCAATGGCAAGATGCGGTGGTGAATGAATGGGCATACAAGTTACAAGCACACACTCACACAAACACAGATAAACCTCTAGAGGGAGCCGTACTCATCGTTGACAGGAGGAGCAGTCTTGGCCAGAGTCTCTGACGCCTCCACAACTGGGCCAGAGGGGGGGAGGTCTGCTCCGTCTCCATTGGGCAGAGAGGGGGCATAGGGCGGGCTCTCTAAGCTATTGAGCGCCGCGGGAGGCGGAGAGCGTCTTTCTGTCCCGTTTGTCAGCTCTAACACTACATCTGCGCCTACGGGCCCCTCGGCACGCGAGTTGTTCCCGTCGGACGCCGATGCGAAGGGATCATTCGAAACCGGCACCCTCACACTGGACGAAATATAAGTGACGGGCAAAGGAGAGGGGACGCGTGCAACCACAGGGGTGGAGACCTCAGCATCCGGGGCTTTAAGAGCAACGTGGATCGCTGAGGGGGACCCGGCGGCGGCAGCAGCAGCAGCAGCAACAGCTTTGGCAGCGTTATCGTCAGTTTGCTCAGCAGGTTCATTCGGGAAGTCAAAGGCAGTCAGGCTCCTCCCACTGGAGTCTGGTTTCGGAGGGGCAGCGGTTGCTAGAGTGGCGTCAGTTTGCCCTGGCGTCTTGGTGCCTGAGGCTACAGCGTGCTGCTGCACGGGAAGCTTGCTGCCGGGTGGCCTCGGAGCACGTTTCTTGCCTTCGAGTGTAGGAGAGGGTGACGAGGCCAGTGGCGATACAGGCGGGCTACCTTTAGCATTCAGGGCCGCAAGCTTAGGAGAGTGCCTGCGCTTCGGCGGTATCGGCGTCCCGGATTTCTGAGCTACGGTCCGTTCGGGGCTACAAGGAGGAGCGGTTAGTTTCTCCGGTTCTTCCGGGTTGTCGCTTCTTCTTTGCTCTAGTAACGGGGCCATTTTAGCCTCGATGGCGGAGCTGGAGATGAGGAGAGTCGCGAGGGCCGCGTTCGACTCTGGAGTCGGGGCCGGAGCCAGGACGGGGCTGGGCGAGGGGTCGTCGGCCGGGGCGGACAGACTACAAGTGAGGGTGGTGGTCTCGCTAGAGGGGCTGTCCTGAGCGGGGTCAATTGTTGCGGTGGCCGTGTCAGAGTTGGTGGCTACGGAGGAGAGGGAGTCCAGTGCCAGAGCAGCAGTGTAAGCCGCCAGCCTGAGAGAGCAGGGAGAGAACAGAGACAGACAGACTAGACACCAGGGTGACTGTGACAGAGGAAGGGTGGCCTCGGACGAGAGCATGCAGAGGGATTAGTGTGATTTAAAAGTTCACACGTACATAAGGCAAAGCAACTGAGAAAAAAAAAAAGAAGCAACTATTGAGCCTGGCAAAAGAAAAACAATGCAAGAGAAGGGCGTCATGCTGTGAGTGGACATCAAAGGATACATCCCACACACACATCGACGTGAAGTACACTGACTCTGACAAACTAATGTACTGAAAGGAGAAGCATCAGCTTTTTTTTTGTGCCAAAAAGTACAGAACCACGCAGTACCACCTATAAAGGGTTAAACAGTACCAGTGACAATCTCATACTGTATCATCTAATGTTTCCAGGCTGCTGATGAGAGACGGCTTGCTGAGGTTGTCCAATGGCTCCCTATGAGTTGACCCCACTCAAGAGGACAAAAAGCCCTTCTGTGTCTTTAACTGGTATTGCTTCAACCTTGATACAATGAGACAGAACATCTCCAAAGGCTGGAGAAGAAACACAAAGCGCAGGAATCCCTCTGACAGGGAGTGAAGACAGAAAAGCGACACACTTCAGTGGACTCCACCCAAGAATGACCTTTGGGAACTTTTATAAAGACGGTTCAAATTGTGTCTTGCTGAATACGATCATTATTCTTTGAAGTGGAGTGCAAAGTACAACAGCTGAAATGCTAGAGCGGTAAAAAAAAAAGGCTGAGTGCTGTACGTCAGCGTTGACTCACTCTGGCTCCGTAAGCGGGGTGGTTTCATTGGGTTCCGTCGGTCCTGCTGCGTTGTGATTGGCCGTGCACTCGTCCTCTGTTCGGACTTCCACAATTGGCTCCTTGGACTCGTCTTTCCTGCAGCACATAGAGAAAAATATCTTGTTAAATGGCAACAGAGTCTCTCATACAATTATCCTATTTGCCACAATGAGCACGGAGAAGATGTGTTACAAACACAAGTAAACAGTAATTATGTCAACACAGACTGTGAGTGGGTTTTCTTTTCAACAGAGTCACAGCCTGACTATTCAAGTTTGATACAAGTACATGTGGCTGTACTGCATGAAGCACAAACCAATACACAACACACAACGCAACTTCTCACTCAAATTGATTCTAAACTGCCTTGTTGTGCAGAGGAGAGTGTATGTTCATTGCTCTTAAACCCATCAGCCACTGCGAGAGATACTCGAGTCTTAAAACGTCATCTCATATATGGGCCCTTTTCTCTGATTGCTGTTGCTGCGGATACCGCCTGGACCATAACGCACTGCAGTCACAAGATGTCGATTTTGCTCAAGAGGCACAATGTTTTTTCTTTAATGTAAAATCCTTCCCCAGTTGGCTCTTGTGTCATCAGCCAAAACATAAAACCTTCAGCTGGGATTCTTAGTCTTTTTTAATGTCAGCCCTGAAAGGCCTTCTGGGGACTGTAGGAGGAACAGAAGATAAAGTAAACAAAATGTTTAGAACACAAACCTGATTAAAGACTATGCCTGGAATACAATTACGTCACAGATGGATCGCCTTTTGTTTTATTCATCAAATTACTTTCTTAAGTCTAACAATAATTATATACATTAAGAATTTATTTTCAAACGTGGAGATTTTTTCATTTTAACTTGAGTTCAACACCTTTTGGGCTACTTGAGAACGTGCTGTAAAACCAACACTGACAGTATTTACACATCCAGCACCACACCTGACCTGGAGTTATGGGTATGGCCTGCCGACGAAGCTCAATTTCATCCTGGTTAATAATATATAATCTGTATCTGTAAATATTATGTGGACATGCAGGGGGATTCTTTTCTAAATGCAGTCAGGGTCAACACATTGTATTTGAAAAACAGTCTCAGATCTCAGGATATTGTCGCTGCTGATTCGATTGATTCGGATCCCAATGCACTCTGATTGTATTTAGAGTTGAGAGAAAGAGCTTATATTCAGTGGTTATTCCCAGTGTTTTTAATTACAAGATCCCACATTTCGAATGACTTACAATCACCTGATCCACAATCATTTATTAATTAATGTGATTTGCAACATATCAGTGGCCAATTTGTGAAAAAATAAATGATTGTAGAGATTAAACAACAAAACAGGCCAAAGGTATGTTGTCACGGATACTCACATGAAGGCTGCTTTTCCCTCCTCCACGTTGTGCCCTTTGGTCCCTGTGCCCGATTTACCGCAGAGGCACATGATGAGGCCACATTTGTTGACAAAATAACAGGAGACATCGACAGCTAGAAGCAGGAGTACAAATGCTACAACAAGGATCCCCGCCCAGAGTGTGATGCTCATTGAGAACGCTGCCTCTTCCCCCAAATCTGTCAGACAAGAGAGAAGACGGGCAGCTGAACAACTGTAGCGTGACACACTTTCATAGAAACAGAAAGAAACAACTCAATAAAAGGTGCAGCTATGCTACTGTAACAGAAACAACTCACCTGTTATGATACTTTCTAGTGGTCTTGGCATGAATTAGATGCAGTGTGATGTTTGTGTAGACTGTGCAGAATGACTAGTGTCCAGTATTATTGATATCATAACGCATACATACATATATATATATATATATATATAAATTTATTTGGTATTAGAAAGGAGAGCAAACCAAAGTGCACGCCGCATTGCTAGTTACCCAGAAACACATATCTTATGGACAAAATAAATGCGAGGCTTTTCTCAATATCACCAAAGGCGAGTGTGCCTTTGGTGATATTATCTCCACGTAAACGTTTAGAGTAAACTCTAAAATACATAGATACAAGTAACTCTTTAGATACCAATAATTAATCAAGATCTGCTAGGGAATAAAATGCAGCTGAGTAAAGCACCCTCAAATTTAAATGTATAAAAACAAAAGGTATTTTTAATTGATTTCATACAATTACATGCAAGAGAAATATTTTTGTCTTAGTAAACAGCATAAAAAAACAGTTTATTTTTGAGAATCAGATATTAAGCTGCTTGTCAAAATTTACCAATATTGTTATTACAAACATTTTCCAGTTAAGCGTTTCTGTTTTCAATAATGTAAACGTTAATGTCACAAACAGTTACAGTAGATATGCATCATTTTGTGAGCGATTAGACTAGATAGTAGTATTTGTGTAAACGGATAGGCCTGGCTTTCAGCCTTCATTCAGTGCTACTTGTTTTAATACAACCTCATTTTAACGTCTGTTGCTGTAAATCGTGGCGCTGATAACCAGCCGTTCAAAGGGTGAGCAAGGTGAATCTGTGGGAGGCCGAGGAGCTGCACTGCCTTTGGTTCGGCGTGTCTGTCTGGTCTGTTCGGAAGCTACGTAGCACCTTTATCTCCCCCCATAACAGAGACACGTCTGTCATAGACAAAGTCAGGGTTTTTTTAAAGAGTGAAAGCGTCCAAAGAGACACCCGGGACAGAGACAGGCAGTCTCTCCTCTACCGTTAAGGTGTGAATCCCCCACGAAAACTATGAGAGCAGGAATACAGTGACGAGGGACAAGATGAGTGAGGCCAACGTGCACGTCACAGATGAACAGCCCTGCTTGGCTGTGGAGCAGCACAAACCCCCGACCACACCATAATGCACACAGGGCGAGACGGAAATGTTCACGTGGTCCACCCCACCAATGTCCAGAACCAGGCAACAGCAGGAACATTGAGAGACGGGATAAAAGAGAGAAAAGGAAAGAGAGTAGAAGACAGAGAGAAGGGAGGGGGGGAAATGAAGGGAAACAAAGAGGAAAAAGGAGAAGGGTGGGGAAAACAGAGGAAGAAAGAAGTGAAAATGTGTCAAAGTGAGAGAAAAAAAAAGAAGAAATTGACTTCTTGTATTGAGGGAGAAAAGAAAAAAATACAGCAACACATCAAAAGCAAAAGCACAGCACAAAGGGGAAAACTACAGCGTGTGGACTCGATGGTGACTGAGTGGTGGGTGAGTGGAAAATGCCTTAGATTGGAAAATGAATTAGAAAAGAGGAAGTGAGAGGAAGACATAATGGTCTGTGGTGATGTTTCAGCAAAGCACCTAGTAGTGTCACCTAAAGGGAATCGGACGACGAGCCGCGTGGCTTTTTGTTGGTACGAATGGGGAAAAGCTTCAGCGGCAGTTAATCAGTGGTTATCAGTGGTTATCAAGGATCAATTTAAAGGCTGATTCCACACAAGGACAAACTATCCACTCTGGCTGCTATTAGCAGTAAACAAAGCTAAAGGAAAACTTCAATCATTCAGAGGCAATCATTTCATCCTCCGTGGAAAGAGCCTGTCCCAGTTCTGCGAGCGCAAACTCAACCTCCTTTAGCAAGGCCTGTCAAATACCTCCAAGCGTGAAATTCTCCCAGAAAATCATTTCTGGCTGACCACCATCCAGGAAATCATATATTTCATGTAGATTTGTTTAGTTGTCATTCACCTTTCAGAGGTAGAAGGTAAAAAATAGAGCGTCACGCTCTGGTTTTGAGCTTTGAGTTTGGCTCCCCAGTTTTCTGGCTGTTTAGTTCCAGTTTAGCGCGAGCGCCCTGAGGGAGGGTACCTGGCACGGCTTCGGGCTGCGTGGACGTCTTGAAGGACATGGTGGCTGGCTGGGACTTGCCCTTCTGATTCTCTGCCACCACGTAGACGCTGTACTCGGTGTCCCACTCCAAGCCGCTGAGAAACACGTAGTCGCTGCCGCTGGGCAGCCGGATTTCTGGTTTCCACTCTGACACCTGGATCTTGGGACACACAGAGAAGATTACAGTACACAAACCTCTTCTTGAATTGTTGCTTTTCAATCCCCCTGAGATGTCTTCAAAGTTGAATTTGTCACATGGGAGAAGCTCTAGTAATCAAAATGTTTAGGTTGACGGATTCATTGATTATATTCACTTAATCCTTTTACATATTTTTTAGATGTCAGAACATTGGACCATCGTCAGATTTCCAGGCATCGCTGAGAAAAATACAATGCAGTGACATTTGAAAAAATACATAAATGATCAACAATCGATTATCAAAGCATTAGCAGCAGTCGGCGAGGTCTAATCACTTCAGCTCTAGTCACAATACTCACTGGCTTGTAGCGAACGAGATAATGTAGAATGGGCGAGCCGCCGTCATCCTGCTTGATCCAGCGGACTTTGAGAGAGTTGCCTTTGGGTGGAAGAGCCCCTTCGAGTTTAGGAGGATTGGGATTCCCTACAAGCACACAGGACCAAGTTAGGCATTACTTAATGTCTCTCTGAAAAGATGTGCAGACCAGCAGGGTTACTGTATTGGGAGAATAGCTATCAGTCCACCTTTAAAATTGAAAAACAAAAAATGTTGATTAGAAATAAAAGTCACCACTTTGAAATCGGCCTCTTTGTTGTCGTCCTTCTAAGTCACTTGCTCTTCCTGAACTGCCGGCAGATAGATGTCGCGTCCCAAGTCTAAGACTAGAGACTAATTACCAAATGACACACGACCACATGCTTATCTGATTGCGTCCTTGTTGCTGAGCGACAGTCACCGAGTGTCACAACACGCCTCAGGGGACAAGGTCATTACTCATTGACTGAAATGTTGATGTAATATACGGATTTAACGGCATAATAAATAGGTTTAACTGTAAGGACAATCAGAACGTGACATTTTTGAGCTATAAAACTTACTTTTAATGTCCTAACCTACATTCTCAGCATCTCAAACTCATTTCCAAAATCCATTGTTTAAACACTTAATGAATAAACAATTAAGTCAAATAGAAATGGAAGGCAACTGGTTAATGTATCAATCTCTGATAATTGCTATATCAATGCTGTCTGTAAAATCTTCCATATTTCTAGTTATGCTAAATTTCTCTTAATGAGATCAGCGCATAGACGTCTCCTCATTACCTGCAGATCACTTCAAACAAAAGTTTCAGCCTCAAATCAGACTTGAAATTCAAGGCTTTTTAATTAAAAGTTGGTTTACAGAAGCTTGGGGGTAACTTTTTTATTACAAGTTGATTTCTGAGAAACATACAATGTCAGTTATTTAGTTCTGGTGAATTTAAATATATGATTAAAAAACATTGCAATAGAATGCCGCCTCTTTCCATCTTAGAGGAATCATCCATTGTTTTCTCTTCTAGTATCCCCATTTTAAATTGAACTTATTCTTATTTAAGCGAGCAAGCTGTATACATTTGTGCTGCATTTTTACAATACATGTCATTTAGCTGACTTACAATAAGTGCATTCAACCATAGTGAAAACAAACTCAGAAGTTATTACTAATGTGCAAGCTGTAATCAAAATCTTTCCAATCATTTCTAAGTGTTTGACAATTTGGCTTAAAAAAAACTGCCTAGATTTGCATTATTCTTTGACAATCTTTTCTCTGGCTTGGAAAAACGCTACATAGATAAAGAATTAATAAAAGACAACAAGAAAGAGGTTTTTAATGGTTATTGTTAATACTGAAAAGCTGGGTCCCTTGAGAAAAGCGGTCCGAGTTAGTTCTCATAGCCTCTACTGCAACCTGCCGTTAAACATGATGCAAAATGTGGAGGATGCAATGCACAGGGTCGCTATTGCTCTCAGCATGAATACTACAAACTCTTGATCGAGAACCAGAGCTTGCTGCGGTTTCGTGCAGGTATTTGGTGTAGACACTGATAATAATTCAGCTATAATTAGAGAATTTTTTTTTTATTTCACACTAGATTTATACAAATACATCCTAAAAAGGAGGAGAAGTATCATCCCTTTATGTAGCGGGCAACAAACACCATACGAGTGATGCTAATATTAAACACTCTTGACTGTTATATATTGCTGTGAAGACAGCTCTGGCTCTCTCTCATTTATCCTGCTGAGGCAAACGTCTACATGACTGATTAATGGGATTGAAGTAGGTGCGTATAACATGATTGCATAGAAGCAATTAAAGTGTGGGATTCTCCGATTAGAACGAGAGGGTCTTCTCTCAAAAAAGCTGCAACAGAGAGTTACCTTCTGCAGAGTGGAGGGCGACCATCAGAACCATGAAAGCACAGTAACATGAAATAACACATGTGAGTGGTTGAAAGAGGACTGGACAGAAAAAACAACAATGTAAATGATCTGGAGACAAACTAAAACAGAAAGATGTGGATTCACAACACTATTTTTCTAACCAGTAAGGACAGCTGAGCTCAAATGTCTCCGTTGGGTTCTCTTTGGGAAAAGTGCAGAAGACTAACAGCCTTGTTTTCTGGAGATTTGTTATTTGAAAGGAAATGAATTAATCAATGCTGAAAAGCATAATCCAAATGTAAACATTCCCAAATTAAACCAAACAGCTGGAGCCAGATGTGCAGCTTTTCTAAAATTTGACGTTAATTCTGAATAACGCCATAGTGTGAATTAATTCCCAAGGTTCAAATTAAAAATGGAATTGCTATATTTATATTTGGAAAACTCAGCCGTCAAATGGGTGAGATGAAAGCTACAAGTTACAGACACAGAAAAAGGTAAATGTGATATGCTTTAAATACATTATAAATGCAGCTAATCAGTAGGAGTGAGGGGGTTATCCTGCAGGGTAGACACAGCTAAGGCAGTAAAAACTAACAGTCTATTATCTTTTTTACAGAACAAACCTGTGTCTTCAGTGAAAAAATTAAAAATGCCGTCTAGGGACATAGAAGAGAAGATAGCAGGCAATCAGGATCAGTTGACTGCACAAACGACGACCCGAATGTCTTTAATGACACTTCACTGGAGAGTTCAGTGAGACACATTCCTGCCAGATCGCACCGGCAAACTAAACATGTCTCATAACAACTGCAGCATACAAGTTTAGAACGAGGCACAATCTTTCCTCTATTTCAAGGAAAGATCCTTGCTCGTATTCAAATTAGGTTTAAATTATGAACTCAGTGTATGTCAAACCATTATATATGGCCTGGAGTGTTAGTGCACAATTAACGATTGGAAAACCAGCCATAAATATTTTAAGTCAGTAAATAAGAGAGACAGTTGAGTCCTAACGAGGCTGAGATAACACTACATCATAAATGAAAAAAGAAACCTAATCATGGAAATATTTATCTTGATGCTCTATTTCATTCACACGTTTTAACTGATTAAACACACTTTAAATCACCTAATACACAGACTCACGGAAAATTAAACGTAGAGCCAAAACAGAGAGGAAGCGCCCACTTTTGTGTTGTTTGATGGATACAACAGACGTACAAATAGTAAAAACAATAGACAATCACGTTCATGAAATGAACATGTGATGAGCTGATCGGTGTGTTGACAACAATGAATCAGGAGCAGTTTTCGTACAAAAACCTGCATTCCCAAACAACAGAGGGTGCTAAAAAACAAATAATGGGTTCAGGATTCACTATGAGGCGTTTTTGTTTTTAAGAGCACTGAGAGATAATTCCTTGTTGCATATTCCAATTTATGGCTTGAAAGCATGTTAGAAGCTTCATCAACTACGATGGAACTGTGGATTTTGAATCACCGTGTGACTGGATCAAAGTACAGAATATATGATGAAATCACACTGCAGTTTAATAGCAGAATAGCAAGACGATGTTAAACATAGGAACACAACAATGAAGTCAGTACCTTTAAACCTGTTATCAGTTTTAATCCTTAACAAATAAATAAAGGGTTTACTTTAAAGAGGTAATAATAATTTGATAAACAACACACTGTTGGAAGCTTTTGTAACGCTGTCCAGACCCTCTCAATATGTTTGTTTGTTTCAGTGCAACAGCTGACTACACTTCATAGTTGTTACAGATCCGCTCTGTGATAGACAAGCACTTCCCACTGCGAGACCTAGAAGAGCTGACTTCAGGTAATGTGTTTGTGGAGACGGGGGGGTTGGCGGGTGGGTGATAAAAGCTCTCCAGCGCGCTTTAAAGTGTGCAACGTGTGCAACGCGTGCCACTTACGGACAGGCTCTGTCTTGAAGAACTCGGCAGCGCTGCTTTCACTTTCCCCCTTGCCGTTGATGGCTGACAACTTCAGCTCGTAGCCGGTCTCCGGCCTCAGGCCCGTTATAGTCGCCTCGCTGGTGTAGCCTGTTACAATACATCAGAGGCAGTGCAATCCCTGTTGAGACCACCTACATGGTTGCGATCGGTGGTGAAGCAAACACACACCCAGTTCAAACAATAAATGCACTATTATTTCCATGGCGAGTAAACACTGATTAGCTCAATTCTCAGATGTTTAAAACAGATAAATCTGTTTAGTGATGGTCCCAAAAGTCTAAACACAGCATACACATAAACAGAAATAACTGACAGCTGTTTTAAAGCAACCATCAGGTATCGATTCATTTTGGAATAGGATAGGAATTCCCCATATAAGTTATATATGAAGATATTCCTTCATTTGTTACTTTTATCGAAATCATACACAATCAACACAAAGAGTTGGCGTACTGTCTGCTGTTACGCACCAACCGCCAAGTCAAAGTCTGATATATTATGGTATTAAATGTTTCCTGATTCCTGAAAATGTCTCATGCGAGTGTTCAAGCCGATCCATGAAACAAAAACGTTCACGCATCTAAAACAAAACCTTAAAGAACATATTTGGTTAATTGCCATTGGCTCAAGAACCTTTTCTCCTAAACGCAACCATGTTTTGCGGATTTCTCTCGTGTTCTTACCGTCTTGGACCTCATAGACCTGGTGCACCCAGGTGCCCCAGCCCTGAGCCCTCCACTCCACTCGGTATTTCAAGACCGGCACACCTCCAGTGGATTCCGGTTCCTCAAACTGGATCTGTGCCGTGGTGGAGAAGGGTCTCACCTCACCGATGGATGGAGCCGACGGCACCTCTGGTAAAGGGAGGAAACGTACGGCGATTAACACTGACTGAATGTGGGAGAGTGGGGACCACGGTCGTCCTCCAATCAGAGGGTTGGTGGTTTGATCCCAGGCCCGGGCATGTGTCGATGTGTCCTTGGGCAAGACACATCGCTCCTGTAGCTGTGACGACAGTGTGTGAGTTACTGCTGTGTGTGGTACCTCCTGTCATCAGTGTGTGAATGGGTGATTAAGTGTTAAAGTGCTTTGAGTGGACGGATGACTAGAAAAAGCGCCAAGTACAGTCAGTTTACCATTGATGCTGTTTCTCAGACACTGATCAAAAGACTTAAGTAAGTACAAGCTAATCTCAAATCAGCATTAAATGATAACAAATGCACAAAGAAAATGTTTTTTTATTAATATTTTGAATACGATAACCTTTCAGTTATAAGAGGAGGAGAGGCATTCAAACCCCCTGCAGTCAGATAAGTACAAAGTCGTGTTTCAACATGAAGGTAATGATGTTGAAGGAGATAACAAAACAAACAAAGATGAAGATTTTGGGGATTACTAGGCATTCTCAAATTTTGTATCATTTTGTAAGAACTGTCTGGACTGGAGTTCACCTAATTTATTTATGATTGATTACTAATGTACATTCAAGTGTAATGATTAATATATATATATATATATATATATATATATATATATATATATATATATATATATATATATATATTGGTTTGCTTACCACTGAACTTTTTACTGGAGAGATTGAGAGAAATTGACCTATTTTAACTGCACTGAGATTGACTATATCAGAGTACTGGTATTTATTCAGAATTCTGTGTTTTCAATTAATTTACTTGAGGCTTCCATTTCTACGGATCAGTTATTTGCGGATTGACAATCTTTGGTATCGGCTGGTTTGTGAATTGATGTTAGAATGAAAGGTTATAATTCTGACAAATTATCTTTTAATTCAAAATACACACTATAAACTCTTGGATGTGCACAATAATATAATTGTGTTTTACTTTTCAGGGTAAATAAATCTTGAGAGAAGCAGTAGTTTCTACACCACCGGAGAGAAGGGAAGTTCAATTATCCTTTGTAGGCTACATTGCCTTTTCATCCAAATCTATTATCCACCTAAACAAACTCTGACATATGAAATCTTACATTGTGGTGGATGATTTGGTCCTGAAATTAGGAAAAGCCTTGTAATTATACTACAATAACATTTTCTACGGCTCATTTATTTGTGATCACAAAAACAACTCCCTGCATATCATCAGTTTTTAAATGGCACAATTAAATTAAAAACAAAACAACAACAAAAGCCTCATAATTCACTGAATCACAGCTAACCGGCCTGGATGAGCAGGAACTCCTTGGACTCCGTGCCGATCTCATTTGAAGCAGTGCAGTTATAGCTCCCAAAGTCGTTTTCTGACTCGGGGGTTATCTGGAGGAGAAAAACAAATATGTGAAGGGCAGCGTACCAAACAAATGAACAAATTGTGTGAGTCGAACACTCGGAAGGTGACCTTTTTGTCTGTCCATTAGAGAAGCCTATTTTTATTTGTTGCTGTGAGCTTTCCTACTGCTGAATTATTAATGACATTATTTTTTTTCCACAATGACTGAAAGAAAACCCCCCTCACTTCAAGTCTATGCTCATGAAATCTTGATGACACAAAGGGTAAGTATGCGTGTGTTTGTGCGTGATGTGCACCTTTACTTTGTGAACTGTAATTTGTAGTGTGACGTACACGCGTGCGTGCGTGTACCTGCAAGTAGCTGGCTGACGGACTCCTGAAGATCTTTATGTTGGTGGTGTTTGAGTTGGGGAGCTGCAGTCCATCTCTCAGCCACACAATAGACACATCGATGGGATGAGCCTTGACCTCACAGCTGATATTCACAGCGTTGCCCTCCCAGGTATATATTGCCACTGCACCGTGAATCTTAGGGGCATCTGGTGGAAGACATTCAGGTAATTCTGCCGTTTAACAGTGCCCGATAAATGTGCTGTTTAAATAAAAGTGAATTCAGGTGTTTCAAATGTTTTGTTACACAGTTTGAAAAGCCGAAACAGAGAGAAGGAAAATACTCACAGCGGACCTCCAGAAATGCCGTCTGATCGTCCTCTCCGATGGCACTGCGTGCTGAACACAGGTACTGACCAGCGTCTGAGTACTTGACATACTTCAGAGTGAGGGAGGACACGCGGGCGTCACTCCTCACCACGACATTTCCATCCAGGCTCTAAATGGGAGCAGAAAATCGCTTGTTTTAGGGAGGAAAAAAAGAAACATTGAGGTTAGTTTATTTCCTATTACCATAATGTGAATTTACACATTGCTCATTTCTGCAAAAAGAAGTGTGACCTGAAAAGGAAAGAATGGAGAAACGCCTGCCTTTAATGACCAGAAGAGACATTACGCTAATGACAAAGGCACAGTCTGCTCGGTAGAGATGTGGAAACATAAGGACACAGTTGACAGAACAGGGGAGTTTATCAATAATAGATGACAGAAGCACTAGAAACCATATAGAGCTTTTCACAGGGAGGGCTTACCAACTTGTGAAATATGCTGATGCGCAACGCTAGAAGGCAGAGCATTACCTCACATGCCACAACCGCGCTTTTACGTAGGAGACACTTGAGGCCGTAGAGTCACTGCACACAATCAGATGTTTTTAGTAAAAGAAGAAACTTTCAAGGGAGTGACCCATATCCAGGACGTGTGCCACTTTCAGTGATGAGGAAGTCACACAGCAATCGAAACCAGGGCGGATAACAAAAGAAGGCCGGCTCACGAGGTGTGTGAATGCCCTCGCCACTACGCGGATACCTACCTTCATTAACTTGATATGCACCAACAGCCGACCACAAGTGGCTTCCTGACCTTCAGGGTCAACAAACGCTTTGTCGTTGTGGTTGCTGTCGTCAGGTTACATTAAACTGTGGGTGTACAGTTTCTGAACTAATTTCTCCGGTTAGAAGAAACATTTTCTCGTACAGGAAATTACTCATTAAAAAATGTATTATGCAGGTTGGAAACCTTAATTGCCCTGATGTTTTAATTGATGCCGCCAAAGGCAAAGCAAATATTCAGTCAGTAAATCTGAAGATTAGTTTTGGGATCTGGGACATTAATTTGTAATATAATATTCTTTTATACTGTAAGCTTTGATGTTTTTGTGGATTGTGCTACAGTATTGGTTGCCTTTATGGCCTCGGTCCAAGCTGTAGGCAAAACAATGACACGGATGCTTTTGCAAATATGGAATTAAGGCCCAGTCTGGGCACCCATGTGAGAGAAACCCTTGCTTGTTTGTATGCAAATTCAATAGACAAAGCATGTCTGGGGCATTCATTATGCAGAGCGGATACCAGCTTACATAACACACCAGCCTTTTATTCTGACCCCTGTGCAGAAAGCATTCTCCCTCAACCCCTGTTGCATCGCCTTTGGACTGCATCTTTGCAACATTCCACACACGTACCACCACCAAGTCAGAAAGTCAGTGCGCTTCCATATTGAGTCCTTTTTAATTGTATGCTACCACTTTTAAAATAATACAGTAGTAGAATTTCTGCAACCAGAACAAAGACATATGTTTACCTACAAGTTTACCTACACAGTAGCCCATAACAAACATCCTCTCCTGGAGGAGATAATATCGTCACTGCATCTTAACGTTGGGATTCATTGATGTTTTCTAACAATGGATTGTCGGTCTGCATGCTAAATGCAGCACAGTAGTCACCTATTTAAAAGCCTCCTTATCAAACAACCATGGTCTGTTTAGTGTCTCTATGAAAGAAAAACAAAACCAAGCAAAAACAACTTTCAGACAGAAATCCCTCCAATAAATCCGACCAAACTGTCAGCAGAGCTCTCCAACCGCTGCAGCATTTCCACCAGAGGAGAGAGACACTGCTGAAACTGAGAATCTGAGACTGAGAATCCACTGAGGACACGTTAAACTCATGTCGTACCAAATCTTAACTGGTTCCGCATACAAATGCACCGTCCCCTAACTATTCCGTGGCTGGTCGAACTAACCCATAGCGGCCTACCCGCTATGCCATCATGCTCAGCATGCTCATACTGCCCCGTGCTCCTGCTCCTCCCCTGCAGGGTCAATAATGGGGCCTCCTGCAAAAAGACACTCTGATCAGTTCAGAGTGCAGGTGGGCCAAACCCCATATTGTTGTTTCAGAAAGTTGGAACCATCATTGCCTGATATATTAAAGGTAAATTGATGCAACCTGAAATCACTAATTTGCTGCTGAGAGATCATTTGTGAAACAAAAGTTATATTTATGCAGGATAATGTGTTTGAGATTTTTGTACAGCTTCGTTTCTCAGGATAAGTGTTACTACCTCGCACAGCGTCCTACTGCTGATGCACAAAATGTTATCGCAACCGTGTGTAAATCACACAAACCTAGTCATCACTGTTAGTGTGTGCTTGATGAAAAAAAAGTCTTCTGCACCTGCTGCAGCGAGTAGAGAATGACACGTTTTTAATTGTAGACTTTTAGAAGACTATTAGGAAAAGACCAAATTGTTTGATCCAGAGCTTCCGGCAAATTGCAACTGCAAGGCTATTTGAGGAACCAAATGATCTAAAAATATGTATTCCTTTCTTTTCAAATAGCACAAAAGTATAAATAACAATGGCAAGCCTAGTATTTGATCTCGCACCTGAAGCTGTGATGAGCTAATCATCGACAACGCGCTTTGTGAGAGATAAAGATGTTGTTCATGTGAAAGCAAAAAATGATGAATCTGTACGGTCTTTTATTATGGTGCACTCAGCACTAATATTGGAAATTACAAAGTGTTATTTCTCACCTATTTTCTCGCATATGTAGTACACATATTTGCTATGGAATTCAATTTGGGAAAAATAAAGGATGCATCTTGGCCAGTTTTCATGAACAGAAGACTTTCTTTCATGAACAGTCCTGAGCTTTGACACTGAGCAGCTGCACAAAGATAAACATATTCAGTCATCTCAGGTCCAACAAAGTAAAGCTATAAAAAAATGTTTTTTAATGTAAGAAATACATCTTGAAGTTATAAATCACGAATTGCCATCAGATCGAGTGAAATATGAGCAATCTGTTTGTGTGCTAAAAGGTCTGAAAGGTAAGAAAACAAAGGCTGAAGTAGACCACTGCAAAGTAAAACAAAGAGATAGGGACAGACACGCCCCAATTGGCATCTTTGTCACAGTTTAGATTTTTCCCCACCCTTAAATGATCAAGAGATTTGATCTGCATTCGTCCAGAACTTAATTGTACCTCCTCTAATATAAAAATTGCTGGGTGTAGGTAAAAAGTCATGCATTTAGAATACCTTGTGTTGCTCGGGCCGAGTCCATGATGCCTGCAGAGGACAGAGACACGACAAGAAACAAAAGGCAAAGCAATTCTTAGAAAGTAATCCTCATCTAGGAAAAGCTGGGACGCTGCACATTGCATGCGTGTCTGTATTGTTTTGTGTACATCCACAGTCCCTTGGCTGAATGTATATTTTTACAGAAAGTGTATGGTTTGGATTTCTGTACTGGTGAAGCGTAATTATGTGACAGAAGTTTTTTGGTGTGTCTTTGTTCGAACTGATCCTCAAAGAAGTAGCTGGATTGGCTTCCCCATGATGCTAACAGATAAAAAGGTTTTTGGTTTATTAAGAAAAGATGAATCCTTTACAGCTAGCAAGGGACAACGCGGCCCGTTGGGTAAAAGCTGTACAGCCGTTATCCACTAACAATCCCTTTTTGAGGCTTAGAGGAATGAGAATGTGAAATACAATGCAACGTTATTTGGCTCTGTTAGAGTTGTCTATTTGTGCAGGTAAGAAAACCATCTCCAACATCCAACAACAGTAGTCATCAAGTCCTGCTGTGTTTTTCAATAATAAGCATGTTTTTGCACCTTTTCCTACACCCCATGTGACTCCTGGTGCCTACATCTGCTCTCAATGTTAGCAGTGTATGAATCTAGAAAGATTGTTTAACTGACCAAAACTGCATCATTGTAAAAATAACTACGGCTGAGTTATTGTGAAATTATATCATGATCATCATTACAACATGTAGTAAAAAAAGCAGCTCAGCGCTTATGTCTAATTGTTCATCATTTCAAATAATTGCTACTATTACTGGATCGCGATCATTATTAATTCAATGTTAATAGAATCTCATACATAAAGATAAATACGTCATAAGCCCAATCATCTCTGTCTTAGTTCCCACTTTCCTGAATGCAGAAATACTTCAAGTCAAACCTCTGGATAACAAACAGATACAACACAACTGTTTCAGTCAACATGCCACGTCAAGTTAAATCACAGTGACAGCGAGAAGCCCAACCCCACAAGACAAAAAGCCTTTCAGAAAGCATGCGCTACGGATTGCATGACGCTGAAGAGAAAACGTTAAGCATGACAATGAGATGTGATGAGCCACATAGCGAATAAGTGTTGAAGCGCAACAAGCAGAAGAATAAAACAGCTATTTCATCAGGTGCAACTGTCGAGAGTTAATTCATTCACAACTAGAAACCCCCCCTCTCATAATTGATGCCGGTGGCTTGTAAAAACCTTTGGTGGGTTTTGAATTCAAGTACTTAACATGACGGACGAACAAGGAGACCATTAAACACTTCTTGGACTGATGGCAAAAGCAACGCTCGTAGTGTGCGTGTGGTTTTTTCCCCACCGTGCTCCTAAGAGCATTGTGAGTCCTCCACTGTCACAGTACAACACGCTGTGCAGCTGCGTCATCGCGAACAGCAGTTGGCTGCGTGTCACCACAGCGCACCGAGAAAAGAGCCGTGGTCCAATTAAAACAAGACAACCCATCGGGCTGGAACATCATCCTCGTCTGCAGCGACGCCCACCCACCCACCCGCCCCCCATAAGTGAGCCGACGAGCTGACAAGCCACATCTGTGACAGGTGTTGGTGTCAAGACTAAAAAGGAAGAGGAAACGGCGGCGAATGCGAACGTGCAAAAGAGGAAGACGCCGAGAAAAAGGAAAGCTCAGAAGGATACGATGGAGGCTCCCCGGGGGACTCGTCGTCTCTCCTTCCATCCTGAATTATGTAGGCGTGTTCAGTCGTACTAACACACAAGCGCACAACACATAAATGTACAGAAGCCTGAAGGAGGTGGGGGGATGGGAGGGGGTTATTAACTGGGTGACGCCTGACAAACTGGTGACTGTGCAAATTGTCATTGTCCTTTGTCGTTAACCTTTGGCGGGCGCTTCACGGAAACTCTTGCGTGCTCCCCCCCCCCCCCCCCCCCACCCCACACACACACACACACACACACACTAAGCTAGCAGGCGTGCTGCTGTGTGCAGAAGACAATGCTCTCTCTGCTACGGCACGCAGCCCTCAAAGCATTCCTCTGTTTGCGCTGCCCCACCGAAGCCGCTGCCACACCACATTAATTACACATTTTCTTACGGCAAGTCATTACTTAGAAGATACTCATGCATGTCTTTTCTCACTTCTTTAGCTTCTAATTGGCAATCTGGATGTTAGACAGAGCAGAATTTCATAGCAGATGTGTCAAGAAACTAGTTTTTTTTATCGTTGCAAAAATACAGCGATTAAATACATTAACGAATCATATACGTTTAATGTGCTTGTCATTTTTCAATACAACCTCCTTTTGTATTGTTCCAGCTACTGATGTTTCTAGAAAATTACACCAACAAGCAAATTCTTTAATATGTATTTAAATAAGCCAAACATTCATTATGTAGATAGTGTACAAAGGATGGATAAATACTTCATTTAAATTTTCCCTTATTGAACAAACAGACTTATCTTGAGTAACTCGCAGCAAATCCGTTCAAAGGACTGAAACAACCGTACACCCGACATAAAATGATGATTAAAGTTATAAAATAAATATATAAATATTAATTTTAATAGCCATATAAACGAAACTATCGCCAGATAAGCGTCAATTTGAATTTCAAACAGCTCTACACAAACAAGCACAGTGCACAACAATTTTGGAGCCAGTTCTTTGTTTCTTTCCTTTTCTAATGTACAGTACTACTGGTTTTCTCTCCCGCTATGCATGCACATTGTGCACTGCTGCTTTACTCACGCGTATAGGACAATGTTTATTTAATGCGGACACTGGACATTTTGAGTGGGAGGTTATTCATAATGAATTTGTCTCTCCCCGTGTTTTATCTTTTAAAACCTGAGACCACAAAAAAAAAAAGTCAAATGAACGAGATGGTCGAGATTTCCAACTGAAAATGAAAGACTAGTAAGTCACAGAAAAAGATGGCTTCAGGGAAAACGCTGCAAAAAATGCAACCACGCAAGTTTCAGACATCAGAACACTCTAAAGTCTAAGTAAACTTTAGGATGCATATGTGTTTGGTGATTTGCTTTGAATAAAACCATCTTTGTCTGAGTACTCTTATAAATCCCAAATACATGTTTTCTTTTCGCGTTGATCAATACTTTATTCTAGCTATAAATGGCAGAAGCAGGCCAAAACCACTTAAACATGTACATGTTTTGTTTTTGTTTTTTTCAACTTGGCATCCTTCCTTTTATACATTTGAAAGTATTAAACCATGAAAATAAGTTATGGTCCCATTTAAATGATCATTCAGCAAATAATTATCTTACTGTAGAGGCAAGATGCTAAAATTGTTTATTTACCAAAATAGTATTATATAGTTATATAGTCATGGCAGATGAATGGCAGTAATCTTTTACCTTTGAATTGTTAAACAGAACACCACGACTTATTTTTATTACATTACATGTCATTTAGCAGACGCTTTAATCCAAAGCGACTTACAATAAGTATTTTCATTTAGTAGCAAGAAGGAGACGTGTAATGTTTGTATAACTGTCTTTCACACACAGGCAGGAATATTTCTTTAATAATTGTATTTTTGTCTTCACGACATCCGTTATCCAACAACGAACTAAACATTACAGATACAGTATGTGTGATAAAGTAAAGTACTGTATGGGAGGAAAACGTAATCTTTTTTTTGCTTACATAACAAAGTGCGTGTCCTAGATACACAACTGGCAGACCAACAAGCGAGCCCAGGAACTGAAAACCCATTCAAATGAACCACAAATGGATTCTGTGTATTCCTCATCAACACACATCTAAACTGGCACAGTACCGCTCTGTACTGCTTTTCTGAGCAACACGAAGATCTTTCATCATCATATTTCTGAGAAATCCCTGCACTTAAGATCCTTTAAAATTAGAAAAATTGAACAGCTGCATTTTTTTCCCCCCGTTCAGCATGTCCACCCCAAACGAATGCTGTTACAGTTGTCACACCGCCCTGGATGAAATACAGCTGTTATGATGATGGCAGACAGCATGACAGACGGACATCGGATGAACAATCAGAACAGGACGATTAAACAATTAGCAGCCGTTCCCTCATGCACTCACTAGACACCCACCATGGAAATCATTTCCCTTGTTGATGAATCAGAGCGTTTTAGGGAGAATGTAGGAAATCTACTCTCCCTTATACTCTACGGTCATTCAGCAAGGCTGCTAATCATTTCTGTGACGACAGCTGTAAAGAGATGCCACGGATCACGAAACATACTGCAGACTAAAGCGCAAAACACACGACCACCACAGCACAGCTGCGCGTCACATGACATCTGTCCCGTGACAAATGTGTATTGTATTTGCCGGTTTCTTTGTTAATGGCAAAGAGAGCCCCTGTGTGTGTGTGTGTGTGTGTGTGTGTGTGTGTGTGTGTGTTACTTGTTTCCTATCTTCACACAGTATAGCTTAACGGGCAAAATCTTTTCTGAAAAAAAATGGCGGAATGCAAAGCTCTGAGAGCTACCCAGGCCGCCTTATGACAGCTTCAAGACCGCTAGAGAAGACGATCCGTCACCAGCTGGAAAGGACGTTGAGCATCAGCGGCTGGCAGGTGTGCTGCTTCTCATGGGACATCTGTACTTGATAATAGAACAGCGGTGTTAACTGTCGATGGGCGCGGCATTCATGTGTGCCTCGCCGGCGTCAGCGTGTAGGCCGGTCTTGACTTGCGTCATGTGGTGGTGCCGTGTTTTGCGCTCAAAGTGATGCTTCACTCAAAACCTATGTTTGAATATCAAACACTCAGCCCTTTACGCTTGACAGTTAGGTAGTCTGCTTGAAATCATGTCGGTGACAATGAATTTCAGTAGTAAGCAGGTTTCAAAAATGGTAAAAATGCCCGTTAAACCACCTCGCAGAATAATCCACTTCACTGGCCCCTTTTGTTTGAAATGCTGCCATTTTCCTTTTTGTCTAGAGGGTGTGTTTTGATAGTCAAACAGATTGTAGGTGGAGCACTTTTACCCTAAATCTTTTGAGTGACACAGACATGAACGTTAGACAAACTACAGTACTATGCAAATGATAGACGGACTGAGCTGGGCTTGGATCCAGGCAACCTCATGCTGTGATGTAACGTTTGAAATGATCAGGCAACAGCGACACAGAAATGGCATTTTTCTTTTATTATGTTGTTAACCAAATTGCCGTCTGATTTCACGAGATAAGCTCCACACACTTTCTATCACAAGATCAGTGTGTCAAGTTTTCAGACTACATTTTGGAAGCATGCAGCAGTCGAATCCATTTCATGAACTCTGATGAGATCATTCCTTGGGGTTTTCAAGAAACAGCTGAGAGATTCTCAATAGAAAGAGATTTATTTAATTTCACTGAGGGGTTTAGTCAAATCTGGAAGCATACTTTGCATCACTACTCCGGTACATTTCTGTGCGACGCGGATTTCATACCTGATAGATCCTGTTTAGATGTGCCTGTAGGAAGAAAATGTAGTGCATGTAATGGACTGGCTCCAGAATTCCTCTATGAGCTACCAAATAGACCTTGAAGAAGCATGCCATGGCGGCAACAGGTCTGCGAGAATGCGGATGAGGTATCCATTGTTTTTGATGGTTTGTACATGGAATATTGCAGAAAACATTACCAAGAGCACAAAGATGGCGGCAGAGTATCAATAGATATTGATAGTCAATAGAACATACTTTATTCAACTTTTCAATCTCCGGCATGAGCAGAATGATGACAATCAGGGTTGAAAATGCAAAACAAACACTTGATCGTTCAAGTGCTCATTCCAGACAATACTGCACAATAAGAATCAAATAAAGTTTAGCCATTGCCTCAAATTGCATAATTATTTGGGGAATGGTTTAATTGGGTTTCTGATGTGGATTTTCTTGACATCAGTACGGTTCTCATTACTGGCTGAGTATTGCTGAGATAATTACGTGAGCTCCTCTGGGCCGTCTACAAGAAGCTGCTAATTTACGGGGAATGATGAGCAGTCCGTAATCTTGTCGAAGAAGCGGCAGACGTCCCCCACCTGTGCGTGATCAATGTACCTCTTTAGGTAAAAAGGTATTCAATTCCTCTCCTTGAGACACCGGGGTTCTGCAGGTTTGTGCTCCTCGCCGATGGTCACTATTCAGAGGGTTTTAATTCCACGTTGTAATAACATAACATACACTGTGAGAAAGCTCATTTTTATTTTAAACATGCAGGAATTCGTGCATGAGATGAATTGATATCAGTCAAACTGGAAATTATAAATAACTTTAATTACTGCCTCATGATTGTGTGCCCCCGCCAACCCTCGAGTCAAACGCTGCGTTCGTGCCAAATCTGCCTTAAAATTCCCTTGAGGCATTCCTGAGATATCGCCTCCACGAGAATGACACGGATGGACGACATGATGCCTTCTGGCCACAGCTGTCGCCGGCTCAAAGGCCTACAAATATATCCCCAACATCCAAAATGGAGGTAAATGCTTTTTTTTAACATAATTTGCCCTGTTCAAAGACAATACGACCCTGTCATCACATCCTTTCATTTTATTAAACTATACCAAGTGGTTTCAGTGTGTAATTTCCACCATGTGTACTCATTACTTAAAAACTAAGTGGTTAGAATGTTTATTATGCAGGTGGGACACTGGTGTATCCGTCTAATTTGTGCCAGTTATGGTTCAATAACTTCGGGTGGAAAATTGCTTGCAGGACATCGGCCCTCAAGGAGCAGAAGTGAATGCCAGAGATTTAGACATTGAGCTTCTACTGTCATCCACACGGCCTTTATGATCTTACCTGCTCTCCTTCAGTGAAGACGTGCTCACCGGAGCTCCAGCTGATGGTGGGAGTTGGATCTCCCGATGCCTCGCAAGTCAGAGTTACCTGCTCCTCCATCTCCGAAGTGCTCTGGTTTACGATGTAGGTGATCTTAGGTTTGACTGTAAACATAAAACACAAAATTGTCACAAAGGCGACAGGTTGTTCAGCGGCACAACTCGCACAATCTTGAATGTCGTACAATGCTCTTTTAAAATAAAAGGGCCTTTATAATACAGGAGAAAAAAACAGTGTATAATTGCAGCTGTAAATATTACTGAGGATGAGGTCCACAGATTATCCAAATTATCCACAGACTTTAAAACAGTAAAGGATGTTAAGTTAAAATCTCCTCACCAAGATAAATGAAGGTGACCTCCTGTTATCTGAATTATTGAATACCACACGGAGAAGAATACACATGTAAAACATTATTTCAGGGGCCTCTGGATTGCAGCTTTCCTGCAATAACTTTAGGAGCGCAGAACATCTTTCAGATAACGGAGTACATGTTGCTTAATAGGTAAACAGCGTGCTTTGAAAGCCGTCCTCCGTATTTTTATGCTAATCTTTTACCTGTTGAGGTCTACAGGCCACCTTTGTTGTTTGGGAGAACAATGTGAACCAGCGTATTCATTGTGAATTTAATTGATGCGACTACATGCACCAATATCGTGCTTGTGAGGGAAATGTCATGCGTTACAAGACAGAAAAAAGACAACAACAACCTGAGTGGGCACAAGGGAAGAAAAGCAAAGCTCATCCCACTTGGCCAGTTCTCTGGATCCTTAAGCTTCATCTTTACATGAAACAATCGCAGCCCACACTGAAACAACACCTCATGTTGTAGCCTTTAGAAAACAGACACAAACCATACTATTGTTCTTCTCCCACCTACATATTCTTATACCTCATTCCCACACACTTTTCTATTAACACTCTAGTTCATGTATATATATATGAGAAACTTTCTTGCTTACCAAACACTCTCAGACTGAGTTCCTTCTCACTTTCCCCAGCTTTGTTCCTGGCAATGCAGGTGTATTCTCCTTCATCCAGCTTGGTAACATCCAGCAACGTCATTTCTGAGCCGTCCTCATTAAAGCTGTACTTCTCTCCTGCCTCGAGAACCACTTCGTTTCTGTAGAAAGCATGAGCGTTTAAACAGTCCATATCCATCTATTCACTCCAGTATAAACTGCAACATTTTACAAGCTGTAGAGAAAAATACAGCTTGTTTTCAAATAACAACTTTAGAACACCGCAAAATTTGAAAACTTCTTGAAAAAAAAGATGAGAGGCTGAGGTAGAGGTACTGGAAGGAAAACTGAGGTGGAAGCTGAAAATCTGAACATGGGTTGAAAGTTTTACTTCTGCAAGTGTTTTAACTTTCAAGTTAAGAGTGTTAAGAGTAAGGTCTAAGAAAAAATCTCTTTGACCATTAGCAGCCATAGAAAAAGAGATAATGGTCTCAAGCCTTAGACTGACTGCAATTATTTGTTTCGGGTTTCAATACAGCTTTCAACAAATGGCAGGTGCCGTATAGATGCACATTCATAAAACAATGTGTTCAAGGGCAACACAATGCTAAAAGCCGCGGCTGTTTACACTTAGTGGCCCCCAATCGAAGCTGTCTGCACAGCGAACTGCTGGCAAGGAAACAAGGTGAACAGGGACAGTTTAACAAAGCAGGAAGCTATCAATGGCCCCATTCAGACACACAGGATAATAGAATAATGTGGCTATTGATATCACTCCCGTCTTCAGGTTTCACTCTTTTCATGAACTTCGTATTACCTGTATCTAAGTACCCCATTGCAATGAATAAACCAGTGAGTTACAGTACGTATATTCATATTCCCCAACTGTCTTCCTGATGTGTGTGTAATTTAAAAATGTAATGACATTTGCTCATATATGTAGTACATGTGCTTCCCCCATGCAGCTTGTCATTTCTAATAAGCCCTTTATCCTTTGTGCTGCCTGCTTTAAACGATACTGATCTCATTTATCATCAACCGCTTCCGGTCCTCTGTGAAGCTGTCAGAGTTCCCATGGAGCCCACAGTGTTCTCCGAATACAAACTATCATATTATTTGGGAAAACAAAGACGCCAAAAAATAAGCAGACAGAAGGGTCTACAGTATGATTTCAAGGTCAAACTGATTCAGCAGTAAATAAAAAAGGTTAAAATATCCAGACAGAAGCTAACGTATAAAGATCTTAGTGTAAAAGCAAACCACCAGATCACCAGGAGATCCAGACAGACGTTCCTGAAATTAAGGAACACTGTTCCTGTAAAGTCAGGTAGGTCTGCATTCACTGCTATAGTCATCAAAAAGCCAAAGCGTGTGTAGACATGCAGCATACGTTCAGTAGCTGACGTGGCACAAGTGTGCTAATGCTGTTTAATAATGTGCTAACATACAACCTTTGAAGTTAACAGGCTTCTAAGATAAACATAAATGAGTCTCTAGTCCATAAACTGGTGGAGAAGACTTTCAGACACACATTCAGCTTCCCATAGGAGCTCTCTCAAGCTGGGCACCGGTTCACTCACAGCACCTTTCATGCAAATGCAACAGCACAGGCACCAGCCAATCGGATCGCGTTCATGCTCCCGTCTAAGGAGCGTGAAGCTCAAAAATAAAAGATGGCGGACCAAACTCCGTACAATTATCCCTGCTCCATCTCACCATCAGTTTGGGGGACCTTGGACTGAAAAACGTTGAAGACCCCTGCTCTGGACAATGTGCATTGTGTATGTGAATTCACCCAAATGAAGAAAAATAAACACTGACTAAAAAGTGAAAGCACCACATTTCTTGCATGCAACAACAATCCCTTTATCATTAGATCAAAGTTGATTGTTTGCTGCTTTTTTAACTATACTATGTTATATTGACGGTATGTCAGGCCTTACAAAAGGTTAATTCCAAAAATATATAGATACGTGTTGAAATTATTCGGGCAATGTGCTTGTCTCTCCGAGTTTTACCTTGTCCATGTCACCATGGGTTCAGGATAGCCATCAACAGCACACGTTAACATGGCGGACTGCCCGACATCGGCTGTTGCATTCACCTCTGACTGCCATACCCGGATGGTCGGGAGCACTGGGACATAGAGAGATAAACAATGAAAAGTACTGCTAGACGGACAGATAGTTGCATAGATAAACAGCAGTGAGGGGGTGTGGGTGGGGGTGTGGGGGGCAGGGACAGAAGCTTTGATAAATTCAGAGCACTTATTTAAGGCACACTCATTTGCTTGGCTCAGAAGTTGCAGGAAACAGACTTCATTAGCATGGAACATCTTTGATACACGGTTGCTCCTGGCAACCGGTTTCACATTGATGCTGAGCCCGGTTGCCTCTAAGTATATACAGCTTATTTAAGCGTCATGGGACACCTGCGACACAAAAACATGCACACGGGAACAAAAAGGAGAAGGAAATAGTGTGAGGTGTGCTCACCGTTCACTACAACCTTGATGACCCGCAGATCAATCTCGCCGCGAGCCATGAGGCGACCCTCGCAGATATACGAGCCCTCATCAGTCTTCTTTATGCCACGAATTTGAAGGTGGTTATTGGGCAATACCTTAAAGCGAACTGAAAGAAAGAAGAACATAAATGTCAGGCGTGTTTCAGTATCAGATGATAAACAGCTGGTGTTAGGCAGCCCAGACTGTTGCATAGTGATGTAATCAAAAAACAGCACTCCTTTTGGCCGACAACAATTCCCAACAGATGCTGATTTAAAAAACAATATTCTGTATTATCATTATAGATGTCATGTTGAATTTATGCATTTCCAACAGGTTCAATAACAAATGGAGAGTATTTTTGTCTGTCAGGGATAAATTACATCAAAAGAATACTCTATCTAGGACACAAATACATGCAATTTCCACTTCGTCAAAGTCATATCTGTGAGCATGCCCAACTCTCATTTCACAACCTCCACAAGAGGAGAAATATAGCCCACAAGAGCGCTCCCACTTGGAGATGAAATATGAACCGAACAAACTTAATCATGTCGTGATTTAAAATACTATCTCAACCCACACATGAGCTTGTGTTATTATTTTCCAGTGAGGAATACCAACAGTATCAGACATATTATGATATTGCTCAGTGTCAGAGGTGAAAAACAGAGAATCCCTTCTATTGTCAAATTCAAAACCCAAATCATTTTCTCCCTTTAAAAGCAATAATGCTCTCTAATGCTGATAAATCCATGTAGCCGTAGTAGCCGCAGCGCTTGTAGTCGTATTTGCTTGTAGCTTTTTAGTTTGCAGTCCATCAGACTGACAAGAAATCAGTCACATTAGATTACTGTTATTAAAAATGCTTCATGCTTATTGTCATAAGAGTTTATCCTCAAACCGGAACTCAATTGGTGCTTCTCCACTGCAAATTCAGCCATTTCACATTCACAGTATTCATACATGTACAGTATGCACGTATGACCACCTTCTGATTAACATCAACAACATTGGAATTTTCATTTTTTTTTAAACACAACAAGAAACACAAAATATTTTGTAATCAAATGAAATAGAAATATGGTCTGAGGGGTCCACAGAGCGCTTACCATCTTTTTCCATTTGTATTCTAGCTCCTTTGTACTTCCAGAAGACAGTGGGTGGAGGCGAACTGATGACATCACAGATGAGGATGGCATTGTCTCCTTCGTTAAACTCTTGGGGTGAGGGCGCGTTCGTAAAGGTGACTTTTTCTGGAATAACAACATGCATAAAGCCCGTTTACTCATCTATTATGAGTATCATCAAAACTCCATCTTCTTCACAAGGTTTCACCGCTGGGGAGAATTTTTTTCAATATTACAGATACAGGAGTTTGTGTAGTTTAATGTTGAAAAACCTAAAAAGCACCATCTCTTTAATGAATTACCAATGCTGCAAGATTTTACAACCAACCAATTTCCTTGGATCTACAGAGAAGGGCTTTTCATTCAGGCATTACTTTGCTTAGCTCATTATCACGCGTAACAAACCCCTCGACTCCTCATTTTAAGTCATCAGAACTAAAGCATTTGTACTTTACAGTAGTTTCTAAAACTCACCAATCATTTTATGAGGAGCACTGCAATGTGTGGAATTAAATGCAAAAGTTACAGAATAACTAATTCTATTTCCAGGCAATACATCTACAGCATCCATACAACACTTCAAATCTGAAGACCTTTTTTAGTTAGTTTAGTTATTATGCAGTGCATTTCTTTTTCAAATTTCAAAGTTTTAATGTAAAACCTTAAGCACACACACACACACACACACACATACAAAGTGAATAAAACAGCAGCTGTAACACGTATAACCTGCAAAATAGGTGCACTTTGCATCATTACATCTGCACACTCGTCCTAATACTTTCCTTTATTATGGGTGGCAGAGGTTGCTGTAAAACATAGTAGCTTGCTTGGAGTGTTTGTGAGTGCAACTAATTTAGAAAGTATTTTTTATAATGCATGTTTCATTTATCCAGTTGCACTACTTTACAAACACATGCATCTTCAATAAAACCTTACTTTTATTGAGATGTTTGTGTTTTGGTGAAGTGTTCTCTAAACATCTACTGAGCCAAGACAAATGCAAATTACAAACAGAAAAATGCAATCTTATTTTGCTGTATATTGATTTACATACGCAGCGTCTACATGGGTGACCACTTCTAATAATAGCCTCAATAGGAAATGAAATAACAGGAAACTTTCCGTTTGGCAAAGGATTTCTTCTCTGACGGACATTTGCTGATGCTTGGCATTCATGGAAAATAAAAGCCATTACTCACAAGAACCGCACAACAGACAGGATCATTAAGCAGCCCTCTAATGGTCTTCCGACCGTTTATTGAACTGATGAAAAATCCATCCTCACTTGAAAAGAAAAAGAGTAATGTGTTGCCCTTGAGCAGTCAATAAAATACTATGAGTTCAATAAACAAGCTTTTCTTTTTTTGCTTCTTCTCAGTTCATACTACTCAATCATTCAGGTGCGAATTGAGAAAAAAAGAAAGAAAAAAAACTCACGGAAGATTTTCACTTTGACAGTTGACTCTGCTTGCTGGTCCCCGTTGGTGGCGACACACTTGTACGTTCCTGCGTTTTCCTCCCCAGCTTTGTACAGAGTGAGGGTGGAGGATGACTCATCGTTGCGGGTTACTGTTATGTCGGGTCTGTTCGGTTCTATCCTGTCTCCATTTGGTCCGAACCAGTTCATGTGCTTGGCAACTCCAACAGCTGAGAGCAGCATGTTAAGAAACAGACATCCCAAATTTTCATCAGTAGAAACGATCACCCAGCAGGGATGTTTCTGCTGGATGTTACACTGCAGGTTGTCCATGCATGGACTGAATCCGGTGGTTTGTTTCTTTTAGCTTGATAAAAATAATTACAATCTATTTCATGGTAGTTAAAATAATGATATATAAACTCAAACATTTCATGTCGTAGTTCTGTCTGGAAATGAGAAAAATGAGAGGGCGTATCGTGTAACAGAGATCCATCATTAATACCATTGAATACCAGGACAATTCAGTAAAAGATAGAGGTCTGCATCCTTGACTCCAAAATCAAATCAAAAGTGTTTGTGTTAATTAGTGGATAATGTCTTTGAGAGTTCCCACCCAACGATAAGTGGGTCACTAAATGGTTTTCAAAGATGGTTTTATAAGGCACTGTGGTTTTGCAACATAATCCTACCAATGAGGATGAGATGTTAGTAATGTTAAGTACTCACTATTGTTCCATTACTTATATGTAAAAAATATATGTATAAAACATAAATGTATATACCTAGTACATTTATGTTTTTTCCTGTAGTGTGTTGACGTATGATCAAAATATTATTTTCATGAGAACAAAGACCTCTGTCAAGTGACATGAATCACCGTCAACTTCTCTTGTACGTAAAAATGGTGGTAAAAAGATGCTGGATGAAGGTTTGAAGGGAAACAAATGGACTGTTCGGTTCACAGTCATCACAGTTTGGTAAACTTACCTTCACACATGAAGAATTTGGACTCTCCGACACTAATCTCACCGTGACTTGGAGTGATCTGCACATCCAATGAAACTGCAAAAGAAAATAAACACATAAAAATCACAAAATCTAAAAGGAAATGTGTATCAATGTATGCCATCTAAAAGCAAGAAAAGCAGCAGCCACCTGCAGGCAATCAGCTCTTTAGTACTGAGTTGCATCAGGTATCTTTTGTTCTTGAGCAGATGCAGGACTAAATTCCTATTTGATTATTTAACAGCAGCTGTTCTGTAGCCGCTCTGAAACAAATTGGTAAATGTTGTATAGTTTTGTAATTGTAGATAACAGTTGGTACAAGTATCTAATGTCAATTAAAAGCAGTGCAAACGATAAAGAATCCAGCTGAGTTTCTTATTTCCTTCAGTTTGCCCAGATTAAAACAGCTTATTTGGTCCCAGCCTGCCGGGTGCAACAACCATATCTGTGCACGTACGTATTTTTACGGTGGGTAGAGGAAACTTCTAGAAAGAAATGCATATGCTAACCAACAAACTGACAAGTCTGGCTCCCCCTGCAGAGCAGTACTCCCCCCCAAAAAACAGCATTTCCTGTTGCTCTTGCCAGCAGCCTTCCAGCACTGCAATTATTGAGTTAACACTCAGCAGTTAGTAAGAAGGAGCGCTGTGCTGCCAATGCATTTTGGGAGAAAATACTTTTAAGATGCTTAAAAAAATGGAAATCACCTGTCTGTCAAACCCCCCAAAATACGGCGTGTGAAAAGTAAAAGCCTGCATATAATCAAGAAACGGATAAAAAACGACACACTTGTGTTGTTTGACACAGAGAGAAGTATGGCCCGGAACACTTCTGAGCTTAATGAGAACAAAGCTTCACTTGTTCCTTACAGACTCTCCCATAGGGGCCCTGTGGAGAGACTAAGAGGTGTGACTAAATGGCTTCCAAATGCATAAAAATGTATCTGCCAGTGACCACTGCTAGCTGAGCCCAAAGCCCAAGTTAACACATTTAAATTGCGCGTGTTCCTTTTTTGACTTAAGGTCGGAAATCCAAAAGTCAATAATTTTCACCTCATCATCAAAGACTAAGAAAACTGACAAATACAATATTCACTTTTGCGCAGCTGGAGCCAGTGCTTTAAGGATATTTAAAAGAATAACTGATTACCTAATGATTGTTTCTCCCTGGAGGAACTGATCAATTTATCACCTATCTTTTGATTACTAGTACATTCGCATCTAATGAGGTAATCATTTTTATAAAAATACAGGAACGATTCATAGGAAAAAGAGTTAGGCATGCCACACATGGCTGAATTAAGACCTAGAAAACCCTGTTCAGTGCACCAAAATATGAATTCACTAAATACTGCATGCTACATCACCAGACAAAGCCATTAAGTGGATGCGTAGTCGTTTCCACCTGTTGAGCATCAGGCAGAAACGGAAAATGGGTTCAGGCTATGAAAATCACCGCTGTTCGCTCTCTCTGCTCTCTTATTGACAGCATGAATTGCAGCTATTCGGTAGGTTTCTATCTTTAAATGAGCGACATTGTTTCCTTTTTGTCAGCAGCGTCTGATGTTCAAAGCGACGGATTATGAAAACCATGCATCAAAAAACTCTCACATATTATGTCCATAAGAACTGCCAGGTAAGTCACACGATTATTAATTTATGGATAAGGGTTTTATTTTAATTGGAACAAGGAAAGAACTACTGTTGGTATTCATTTGGTGGAGCGGGAAACTCATTTGCCGAGGAAGAAAGGAGATGATGATTAATCAAGTCAAGTGAAGTCTGTTTGTGAAGCTTATTATGAAATGCAACGTCTGAAAAGTGCTTTATATCTGTAATGGTCCCTAATGAGCCAAAGCCAGCAGGCGAGGAACAAACCTTTAAAATGTGCCAGATGTATTATTACTGTTGAAACGTGGTCTAATTGTTGTATTTTAGTGTTTCTGGAACCACTTTACTATGTGGTTTCAGCGTTTTTAAGGGGCATTATAAGGACTCTAACAAACTAAAATGGGAGAATGATATAAGTACCGTGAGCTCACTCCATGCAGATGTACTGCCATTCTGTCATATTCTTCAATTCCAAAGGAGGTGGAGTGGCGGTTAAAGAGGAGGGTGAGACGTGGGGCAGGTTTTTTTTATGGTTCTCCTGGAGTTTTTTTTCAGAAACAATGAAATAAATATGGAGAGGCTTCAGAATATCTCATAACTACAATGAATGCTTTCAACAGTATTGCAATGAATGCAATTACTTTGAATGGAATAACACTGTATGTATAATGAAGTCAGTTGCCGGTTTATTAGGTCCGCTTTGCTAAAATGAATGCGGTTTAATACAGCAACCCGTCTTTAACCATGTCAATGAAAGTAGAGAAGCCTGAATATGTTGGGGTTTTAAGTAGAAGTGAATGTCTAGTCATAGAATTTGTAGTACGTGTAATGCTGTTTAGTGATAGAATTGTAGTTTGTGTGATGTTAGATTAGTTATTACATTAACATGTTAGATGAAGTGAATACAATGTGAGTCAAACACAGTTTATAGTCTTTTAAATCGTAGAAACACTCTACACATTAACATTCTGTTACAATGTGATGTTAAAACCTGGGGACGGATGCCAATTGCCGTTCTTTTATGGATTTCTCCCAATTTTATCCCCAAAGGTTTTTTTTGGGAGTTTTTTCTCCTGTCAGGTAATAAATGAACAACTTAATGCGAGGCAGCCGACTGAGGCAAATGTCTTGAGAATTGAACCACATGAACTGTCTTAAATCTTATGAAGGGTGATGAATGGGGGATCATTAATGATGGGTTGTTGTAATTAAAGTGTACTAGTTATAAGATGAAGACTTAAACGATGTATGCTTTGTTAAATTTACTTATTGGGGCATAAAGCCAACTGTATCTACATTGAGTGCATTGGAATGTGAGGGACAGCTAGTACAGTGAGGTTTCAGGTTACAGCTGCAGCTTCACACCTCGACGTGGAAGGGACAATGGAGGAGGTGACCCTTTGGAGAAGAGGCCAATGACATTCAAATGCACCAAGGAAGACACACCAAGAGTTTTCAAAGGACCATGGCGGGGGAAAGGACTGGTAGAATCTTCCCTGCAGCCGTTCTGATAAGTCACTTTAGACTTGCTCAGAGGATTCTCTATTTCGCGAAATATTCCACTGTTCGCTTAGTATTTCACTTTGTAATTGTAATCCCTATTACGTTGTTTAGTCATTAAATACTTTTTGATTTTTGAATTTAAACGAATTGACTCATTCGTATCCTCGTTTCCGGCCGGGACGAGAACAAAGGAGTGAGGCCTCCCTCGAGAGCTTTCCGAAACCCTTAACAAATATCTCAAACCCGTCTCAGTATGATTCAACAGATCCACAAACTACAGCCTCTTAAATGTCCGTTCAGTTTAATCAGCACGTTTCAGATTCAACAAAGCTACTTTCCCACGGTGTTTCCTATATTATAAGCACCAAAGCAAAACCTGTCATATCCTGCAAGCAAGCGAACATTCCAAACGATGAACCCCCCCTTCATCCCCTTCTCCCTCTCCAGCTACATGTTTTTCTTCTTATTGAGTAGAAAATCACACCAGAAGAACAACGCAGCGCACACACACAATTCAGTTTTTTGTAAGTATTCTGTACCCCAAGCAATAATTGGTCTACTCAAATCACAGCCAACACCATGGCCGATTGAAAAACTTCAATCCACTCAAAGTTTCATTTTAAATTTCACATCTGCAAATTACACTCTGCTTTTTGTCCCTAAAAGAAATACCTTTTACATAAACTGAATGAGGGCGGAATAAAATCCGTCTCCTTCCCATCACAATAAACCTCTGTCGAGCGCCTATGATGCAATAAATGAAAACAGGAACGTGAAGATAGAACGCAAAGGAGAATGTCAGAGACAAGAACAAAAGACCAAGCCAAATTTTTCATCAGCCTCAGGACACTGAAAAAACATTCAAAGTTGAGGTATGGCTCGGCCTCTTAGTGATTTTGGATTCCATTTCGCATCAATAATTTAATTCTTAACACTGAAAAGGAAACACATACTGAGAAAAGGCGAGGAGGAATATTCGATTTAATAATCTCTGCCTTCGAGACATCGCCATTTCGTGCATGCACAACATGTTTGGAAGCCCAAACATCAGCTGCCAACAAACGGATGAATAATGCCAGTCTGTCTCAAAATCTGAGCAGCGAATTAAGTCTTAATCACAATGGCGCCATGTGTTCAACTTGACGGATGACATATGAGCAGAGCATGATGGTGTGCATAAACTTTAACGCAAAGCTGAGACAAACACAGAGAAAACTGCAGCAATAAATCTAGTTGTTGGTCCCATTTGGCTGCAATCAAACAGAGAAGCACAATGCGAATGTGAATGCAACACAAGGGCCGTGGCTCCGAGCAGTTTATTTGTGATGTCATGTTTACTGTAGCTGTGGGCAATGTCATATTTGGATGCAGGCTGATTATGACGATAGGTGGCAGCTTGCAGTGTCAATAATTCATGTCTCTCTAGGTCATCAACAAAACCCTTGTGTTCGTAGTCTTACAGCAAACTCATTAAATATACACCAACATTGAGTGGAGACACAAAATAATTAGTGGTGGTGTAAAATTAGTGAATTGATTGACCGTTTCCAAATGCAGGTCACGGAACATGGAGCAAAATAATTCCGAGCCATATATGTGAAAGCAACATCTTTCCAATTTAAACCATTGCTATTCAAGGTTCATCGCCAAGATTTCTCCAGTGCAGCCGCGGGGCGTTGTTGTACTACCACTGCACACACATGTGGCTGCACGTGTGTGGCTGTGTTTGTGTGTTGCGGTGACGGTGGGAGGGGGTTAGATATCATGAATGAAAATGATGTGCATTAATTTCTTTCGGCTGCAGTGATTAGTGGCAGCAGTCAGAGAGCCTTAAAGAGCTTTGTGTAGCCGGAATTCAGGCTTATTTGCTGGCGTTTTATCTTATCTTAAAGTTCCCCGTGGGATGAACTGACTTTTGACAGTTGTGTTGGAAGTTACTGATAA